TATTTACTGCCTACTATTTTTTAATGGCAGGGTACTACGTGAAGTATAACCACAATAATGCTGAGATATTTTCAAAACTTTTGACCGCTGTTGTCTGCATGGGGGCCGAACGCGCTATTTCCCTTTCCGGTGGCTAACGCGTTCACCACTACACCATGCGAACCCTTCACTTAGCCTGTCTCTCAGCCAGGTTATTCTCCTTAAGGAGCTATCAGCAGTTTCCCGTCAACAGGTTTGACCTGGATAGCACAAATCGGCATGGACCCAGTTGTGCTGAATCTATGGTACAAATCACAATGTCGATGAAGCAGACACCAGCGATTCGGAGTTTTGCGAATATCTCAGCAACATTATGGTTTAGCCATTGTGGTTCTCTGTAATCCTGAGGTTAACCTGGCCGAAGTCTGCCCCAGTCTGCCCCAACACCACAGGCAGCTGCAGCCTTTGTGGATCAGAGGAAGATTTGTCACCATGCGACTTTGATACCAGGTCGGTGGTCGATCATAGTAATGGTTTACTCTTAGTTCGGTTTCCTGATGGAAGCTCTGGACTCCTTTTCGGCTTAGGAGGGCTTGCCAGCGGATGAATCACCTGCGGTGCATCGTAACCCGGCACCCAAGATCACCTTCCCAGCCACTATGAGGCGGTAAAGCGCTGAGAGATTTCTTATTGGTGACAACAATTATGATTTGTGCACTAGAGCATTAAAAATAGTTAAAAAAAGACGTTGTGCTTCTTTTCGTTTATTTCCGGCCTATGAGACTTATCAGGTTCCTATAAAAAATCTTGAGATGAAATGTTCAAAACGAAAATCGATGGTCCTTATCTCTCGCATGATTTCTTATCTGTACACAAACTGTTCGTGTCCTCAACAAAATAGCGATTCGCGACCTTTTTACGACCATTATCTATTTTCTAGCGTATTTAAAATGAAGGATGGACCAATTTTTGTGAAATTCCTTCCGTTCAAGATTTAAGAAGTACCGCTTCGACCTAACTAAGTAAGAAAGCTGTGCCGAAATTGCTACGTATAACCGGCATGTTTTTGAATTGTTGAGCTTACAAGAGATTGATAAATAGATTTATTTCCGCTAACGTTTCGACGTCTTCGTCTTCATCAGAGCCGATGATCCGTGTCGGTGGTCCACAGTTGTTCGTCATCTCGATGTGGCGTCTTCATTGTTGTAACGAGACCAGACCTTCTTCAATGATCACCGCACGAATGAGCAAGCACACCCGTCAGTGTCCTTTCTTATAAGGCGGTTGAAAATTGCTACGTGTAGCCGATCGTGTCACTAAATTTCCGTCAGATTGGGCTAGAGTTTGGAGCCAAGTCGAAATTGATTTAGACGCCGCTTAAGATCTACTGAAAAGGTGGTATCCGTATATTCATGAATTTGCGCTACGGCCAACAGTGAGACTCTTATCACGCACAACTTCCGAGTGCAAACAGTTTTTTCTTTACCTTTTTATTTACTGCCTTTTTCTTTTTAATGGTAGAGTATGTTGCGAAATATAATTCGTATGTAATGCTGAGGTATTTGCAAAACTCCGGACCGCAGGTGTATGCGGTGGCGAACGAACACGCTCTGTTGTCCTTACCGGGGAGCAGCGCACTTCACCACCACACCATCCGGGTCCATCGTTTTGCCTGTCTCTCAGATCGATCTATCGATCTTTTTTGCCATCAGCAATCACCCGTCAACGGGATTGATCCGGGGAGCCCAAATTGGCATTGAACCCAGTTAAGCTGAGGCTTAGTTATAATTACAATCTTAACTCTTTTATTTACTGCCTTGTTCTTTTGATTGCTGATGGCGAAAAGATCGATAGAACTAGCTGAGAGATAGGCAAAACGAAGGACCTGGATGGTGTGGTGGTGAAGTGCGCTGCTCCCCGGTTAGGACAACAGCGCGTGTTCGTTCCCCACCGCATAGACCTGCTGTCCGGAGTTTTGCAAATATCTCAGCATTACATACGAGTTTTTTCTTTCTTCCTGCACCAGTGTATTATTCACATGCTTTTTTCACCGCGGTCGCTCCGATACATGTAGTGCTTTGACCAATGGGTCGGTTAGTCAGCTCTTTTCGTGTGATCTATATTTCCTATTAACAATTATATCGACGGCATTCTCTCTATGTAATTTGTACCAAATAGTTTAACAACGTTTTTTTTTGGTGACCACTAGGTACTATTACTTTCCATAAGCTAGAGAAATATTACCATTTTGAGTGCTATCTTTAGCGCGCCAATAGTGTCGCTGGAATGAATATCGTAAGACGTAGTGAAATCCTTGTTGGAAGAAGTAGGCTAATAGCGATTCATCTTTTTTCTGATCATAATGGCGGTCGTCAAATCCAGAACCTTGGTATGTTCATCTATTACGACTGCCGTCGACTCTGTGGATGGTGACCAGCTTTGCCTTATAATTTTGTTCCATTGAATCCTAGATATTTATCGGACGTCAGAGAAAGTAAGAGCTTCTTCCACCGCTAGACAATCCTGACACTACCGGAAGCTTTTTGAGCACGGTTCTATTTTGACTGGCGCTTCACAAAAGTAGGACAGTATTCATCAGCAGAACTAAAATTTGGAAAGAATAAGATCAATACCGTCTCCACATGTATTTTTCTCCTAAATGAGTAAATTGTCTGCCAAGTACAACGCAGTGTTTTTTCTTCTGACCTTTTAACACGAGGAACATGAGTGAACGATGGTAGAGGTAAGTTGCCGTGACTTGTTGGCGGCAACTAGCCCCTAGAATAAATAAAGAATAACAGATGGGACTAGCGGCTCTCTCGAAGGATCTCTATCGAGGTTTTGAAAATATGGTCCAGACAGCATGATTCTTGTCTAAATCTTATTTGCGAATAAGATGGCCTTCGTAGACGTCTATTAAAGAATTCGACAAAGAAAGAGTATGATTGTTGGTGGGCTGTTGCAATTGCTAAGTTTCCTTCAACAACGATTTTCGGATGAGGTGCTCATTATAGTGTGCTATATTGGTTTGTAGCCCCTTTATGAAATTGCGTCGATATTTACAATATGAGAGGTCATAATTTGAACGATTTCAAACCACGGATTTCGCAGAATTATTATCCTTCGAAGCTCGAAATCTGTTTCGCTCGAAGTGTGATTTAGAAGAGAGATGAGGGATATTACAAGTAAGATCTCTCTGCACCTGTACGGTCTACATTTCAATCTAGTACCTTGATAATGCATATGTGTCCGTTACCTTTTGTATCGTTCTTGAATGCCAAACAGACAGCTTTAAATGGGTTGAGTTTCATATGAACAGAAGATGCTTCATGCGATGATCGATAGTGCCATTCGTTTATGAAACTCGCATATTCACAACATTTTCAAACTTCAGAAGTTCTCCTCTTGCTGAAAACGGACTAGNTTTTTTTAAACTGAACATAATTTTGCTGTTAATGGCACTCTTATTCACGTCTTACTTTTATTTCTAATATCCTTTAATCGCATTCTTTTTTCCTTCCAGGTACTAATGTCTTACTGTACTTATTCGTCTTCTACGTGTCCTGTCCATTTCTATATTGTTCCTGTCCTTAACTCCATGTTCAACTTCTCGAACAAGCACACGACTTCATTTTTTCACCTTAGTATTTATTGAAATCTCGACACCTAGGTAAATTCATATAGATTGACTTTTTAAGAGTACTGTTGAATGCTTGTTAGAAGTAATATGCCGACGGTGTGAGTGGCACTTCATTTCATCATTTTCAGTGTCTATTATCTTTTCTACCTCTCACCCACCCAACGGTGTAACGCCTCATCGTGGCTGGGATGAGTTCCCGGATGTTGAGTTGCGATGTAGAGCGGCGTCATTCACCCAGGATCGACCACCGTGCTGGTATCAAACTAGTCGCATGGTGGCAAACCTCCCTCTGATCCACAAGGGCTGCAACTACCTATGGTGGTGATGACCTGGGACAGACTTCGCTTAAGCTGACCTCGGGACGGGAGGGAACCACAGCGGCTAAACCCGCAAAACTCCGAAAAAGTGTAAATTGCGCTGCAGCCCCAAAAAAAAGGGAAGAAGGAGCCATTCACGTGTCCGAGCAAGTAAGTAAGTCTACCTCACCTCTGACATCGACCGTCTTCTTTCTGTTTAATTTTAGATAATTCGCTTTAACAACAGCCTGCTTTTTTTCTTCTCGTACCTTACTATTTTCCGCACACTTTTTTGACCTCCATGGATGGAAGTATGCATAGACTTGGTCACTTTGCATGGGATTGGGTGTGTTTAGAAATCTGAAAGTCGATTCATTTCGCCCATGGATCTCCCTCATAGGGAGGATCTGGATCCGGTTAGTCGCGACACTACGTGGCGCGTCATCAGATGGCGAATAGGGGATTAATCGCTGACCAAAAGTGACCTCGCCCATGGATCTCCCTCATAGGGAGGATCTGGATCCGGTTAGTCGCGACACTACGTGGCGCGTCATCAGATGGCGAATAGGGGATTAATCGCTGACCAAAAGTGACCTTTGCTTCCCTGAGACGCAGATGGATCTAGGGATGGACTGCCTGTTTCTGCTGCGCTGATTTGCCACGCACTTTCTGTATTTGCTAGGCCCCACCAGCCTCGGCTTAACTGGGTTCGTTGCCGATTTGGGCACCCAGATCAATCTTGCTGACGGGTAATTGATGATGGCAGAAATCGATAGAACTAGCTGAGAGACAGGCGAAACAAAGGACCCGTACGGTGCGGTGGTGAACGCGTTACTCCCCGGAAAGGACAATAGCGCGTTCGTTCTCCACCATAGACACCTGCGGTCCAGTGTTTTTGCAAATATCTCAGCAACGTTGTGGTTATGCTAGTACTCTCAAAATTTAGATTTTGAAGAAACGATTGTTTCCGGAGACGACTAACGCTTTATTTTTTTACAAGGGAAATTGCAGGAAGCTTCTGTGCGTTCGTCATGAAAACCTCTGAGATTTTGGGAGCACGCCTTGTACAGAAATTCAGAGGGGGCATGAAAGCCATTGAGCAGCGTTATCTTCGTGAGCTGATGCTCGTCATCACTCCGACAAACGAAGATTTGCTTGACGCCATTGAAATGTACACTTGGAGAATGCGCTACGATGTGGACGGTGAACCACAAGCAGAATTGCGGCAGTATGTTTTCGATGACTGTTTGTCATAGTTGAAAAAGTACACTGAATCACTGTTTCAGACCCAGTGGAACTGTAATGGTAACACTTTGATTCAGAGGGTTACAGTACTTGAAAAGGCAGACAATAGAGCTTCTGCTTTTGCTGAGAGTATTATGTCGAGACACGCTGACTCCACTGCCAGCTGGCCCCTCATCTATGATACGCATAACATACACTGACAGTTGGTTCATCGTTTATTGAAATCGTTCACACCAAGGTATCGAGAATATATATTTTTCGAAATATGCAGCATCAAAACGGTTATATACCTGCAGTTAAATGCAGTTATAGTATATTTTTCCTCTGTTACTTTTAAACATACAGGAACTCCAAAGGGCTATCAGGCACCAGGCTTTTACCGTTCTCCCGAAGATCCTGTTCTACGGCCAGAGCCTCGGCATCTGGAACGTGCAACACTGCAAACCAAATACCACGGGAAAGCAACTGATCACGGTTCTTATATTCTTGTGGTTTACTGAGTTTTGATCAGTTCACCTGCAATTTTTAGAGCTTCTGTCGTAGTGCAAAGTGTATTCATAGTCGATGAAAACGCCATGAAAATGAGGCTCAAGAAGGTACTGCAACTGCCTTATCCTGATGACTCTCTAAATGACGCATTTGATGAAATGGGTGCAGGTGATGAAGCGCATCGATCTGTCAACAATGACACTATCGAGTGCATCAGTGAGACAGCACTACAACAGGTTACTTATAAGATTTATGCTGGATTTGCAGATTAGTCGGTCTGACGACTCGGGCCTATATGTTGGCGAACCGTAGCTGTTAGGTGGCTCAATTCCGTCGTGGAGGAATGAGTCGTGAATATAGAAGCATTGAGTAGAACGGAACACAAGCACTTTAGTGCTTGAATCCTTATGGGAAGCAAATCTTCAGGTGTTCTGATGTCATTTGACGATAATCAAGAACACCGTGCTTGCACATCTCAAGTTCACAATTACTTTTGTCCTGATGTGTTCTCTGGAAACCAGGACGCTGCGCATGCAGGATCGAAGAGCTGACACCATTATAGTACCTGCTATCAAGAGCATGGTTCTGAAGGTGTCCTTCAATACGTGAGGAAAAGAATCAACAGTTTGGAATAATATCGTAGAATGCATCATAACGACATCTAATAGACGAGGACCACTCAAGAACTTCATTCTATGCTATGTTAGACTCCATTCTGGGAATAATTGGCCTGATGTTTCGACTTTCTCATGATAAACCCTAAATAAAAAATGCAGCGCTCTTCATTAGCTTTGAGTGAGGAAACTGGCATGTTAGATAGCTGTTGACATATTCAGTGATTTCAATCGCTCGATAGTTGAGGACATGATAGGTGGTAGGCAGTGGAGATTGTGACATAAGGGGAAGGTTTATTTCTTTGTTTCATATTCCCTGCCATATTATCACATTACATTTTAAGTGCGAAAGTGTGGAAATTGCTCGAGAGGAGGTTGGGATTGCTGATGAAACTAGCAGTCGTTCATCGCCCAGAATTCCTGATTCGGTGTCCAGCAATTCACCTAGATTGAGTAAGTGATACTCGGTTATGTTTCTTGCATAGCAATTCAACATTTATGTGAGCCCGGTATAAATAAATTGGTATTGTTTGTAAATAGCGCTTAAATGTTCGATGAACTGTTATATGATGACCATAACAAAATGAGACAGCACAGTAATTGGCTGCAACATTTTTCTCAACAGTAGTGAATAAGTTAACATTTAATAGGTGTCGCAGCGGAACGTGGTTCGGTTGCAGACTTGAACATTTCCGGCAGTACTCCACCTGCTGAAGAGTACCCAAGGCGTTCACGGCGTGGTCGACTAGCTGTAACGACGAAACAAGCTCAACTTGTTCATGAGTGTTCTGAAAGTCTTGTCTCTGTATGTTAGTTTTCTTTTCACAAAGTTATAGCCCACTAACAGTTATTTCATATTCCAGAGTCTCTCACAAGTGGTGAATGTTTCCACACCGCCTAGTACGAATCCATTTACTGTGAGTGAAGAAAAATCCCTCATGTAGTATTGTTTAAGGCTTACCGATCCAGGCAATCTTCCTTTTAAGACTGGTGTAACACGCCGCCAGCCATGAGAGCTCCTGGTATGACAAGCTGTGCATTGGTAGGCTTAACTACTTCGTACTACATAATACATGCGTTGTGCTTAGTCTTTTGCAATATTTGCGATGAATTGTCTCGCTTTAGGTCACTCCTAAATAACCGCCAGGTTGGCGAAGGAAATGAGACACTGGTGGTAGTTTAACAACAGTGGTTTTGGCTTTTTGAAAGGTTTGAACTCGTTGTTAAATATAGTCTTGTAAATATCATATATTCTTATATTTAAAGTGAGCCACTTCCAGAATTGACTTTATTAGTTGTTATAATCGTAATTAAATCCATGTTCTCTTAGTAATGATGTGCGGTTGTCGTACAATTGTTTGACTTCCGCTGAAGCATTGGTGAATGGTTTTTGTTCAGGACGTAGGTGGGGTTATCCAGGCTGGTAGATAACTTAGTTCAACATTCCGTTAACCTATGTAAGCTTCATAATCCACGAAGTGGTCCACCGTTTTGGTTCATTTCGTTCTTGAAGTATAGAAATCAAGGTTTTAAACATAAAGGAAGTGTTTGGTGGTGTTAAATTGAAGTCAATTTCATCCTATTAAACTCCGAGGAAGGAACTTAGAGCAAAAAAAATGGGTGCTGCGTTAACCAATTCGGAAAGGAACAGGAAGTTACCCGTAGAAGAGTTCCTTTTCATTATTTTCTTCAGGTTCTCGCTCATGATTTCCACTTCTATGTTTACCGCTTCATCAGCTGCATCACTGCAAATGAACATGTGTGTCACGTTTGTACATCAATTTCGAAAAAACGAGAAGTCTGGTCATTACACTGATTGAACAATTCTTCCCACTTCTGTTCAGCAAACACGGGGTGCTATTCCACTTCCCCACTCACGTAAAAGGTGACGTTTCGCAGGATTTCGCCTTCCTCAGAGCCTGGAAAGGTTATGTTGACAGCAACCTATTCGACCAAACACCTTCATAACCAAAGAGAGAAAACGCCAAACCAAGATTTCAATCACATTGAACACAGCTCCGCACACTCACCGCTTTCTATGAGTCTTCCACTGAGTATGTCGTGTGAAGACCAACCGCACAGAATTCACATGGAGTGCCCCTCCCATCAGAATAGCAGTCTTATATACTGCCCTATATCACGCGTGATAACAAGGCATTCTTCCCTGCTATTCATTTTCGGATTTCTGGAATTAATCCAGAACGCCTCGAGAGTTTCGCGCTTGTGTTCTTGATTACTGCGCGACGATCGTGACACATACTTCAAAGTCCTCCCCGTTATGTCCCTGGGTCCTATGCGTGCCTAGCGGAGTATTCGGTTAATGTTTTCCGGCTAGGTGTTCTTTTATGCGGACACAGAGGGGTCTACCCGTTTCGCCAACGTATTCGTCACCACACGTCTTACAGGAGATCAGATAAACTATACCCGAGCTCATGCAATCACCGTCTCTACCATTGGGGCAAATTATGCAATTTTGCGTTGCACATAGACGGTCATGTAGTAGGTTACGAACTAGCTGGCGCCTAAGATTACTCTAATCGTCATATTTATATCTTGCGATATTTATTTCTTTATTACTTTCATTCTTATTATGCGAAATCATAGATGCTTCATGTGTAAAAGCCTATGGAAAGGTTTTTGTTCGTCAGCTAACCAACCAAATGTTGGAGTTGTTGTCTTCTATTGCTGTAATTTCAGCTATCTGTGAATATAGTTCATGTAAATATTGTAATAAATGTCGTTTGTTATGTGCGAAATTGAAACCTAAATATGGGAAACTAGCGGAATACAAATATTTCTTCTTAGTGTCCTGCTTAAAGGGGCATGTGTAATGTAACTTAAGGTGATAGAGTGATTCCAATCAGGCTGTGGATAGAGAAACATATACGGGAACATCGATGATACGGGAGATTTTTAGATAATAAGAATGTGAGCTGAGAAATAAGTAGGAGATCGATATTTAGCACTAAATCGAGTTGCTAGTCACAGCTATGGGTCTCCATTGACGTACACATTGGAGAATTGCACGCTACGTTTGCGGGGTCGATGATCACAATGTGTTAACCAACGCGTTATCGAAAGGATTATACTGAAAGTATCAAACAAGTTAGAGATGGGCTGGATATCGGGTTCGAATAAGCAGATACAAAAGCGTTCTAACGTCAATCGTTTGATAACAGTCGTCGACTATTTAGTCGTACAGAATGAGGACCACCAAAGCGATTGCTACACTCCTTCACAATAATTCCGTAAGAAGAGTTTGATGATATTGGAGTCCCCAGGGATACCAGGACTTAGTGGGCTAGATTTATACCTATAGGAACAAATGGAGATATTGCGGCACCCGCAAGAATCACTCGACCATCAGTGAAAGGACAGAACGATCCAAGTCATACTCATGATAAAAGGACGGTGGAATAAGCATTGATTTATCTCACAGGAATACGTTATTCATTTAACTCTATTAAGCATGGCAGAGTTGATTGGATGCGTATTTGGCCTACACAATGATTTTAAGGTTAATACTTACTTGGATACTTGGACGTACAGTCCTCACTGGTTGTGCGGACCTCGCCATAATTTCCATTCTTCGGAGAATTTCTGGTTTAGCCATTGTGGTTCCCTGGAGTCCCGAGAACAGCCTGGTGAAAATCTGCCCCAAGTCGTCGCCTCCACAGAGAGACGCAGCTGTTGTGGACCAAAGGGGGATTTGCCAACATGCGACTAGTTTGATATCAGTGCAGCGGTAGATACTTGTGTTGGTTTACTCTTAGCTGGACTTCCTGTTGGAAACGCCGGAATCCGTCTCAGCCTGGGAAACCATGCCAGATGGATGAATCTCCAGCTGTAGATCGCACCCTGACACCGAGGAACCCCACCTAGCCACGATGAGACGCTAAACCGTGGGGAAGTAAGGCTTTAAGGTTAACAAACAATAGCAACTATTGTCCATCTTCTAGAAAACCACTCTCTATCTCTTAACACTATCTTACTTTTTCGACACTATTTCAATACTGTTCCGCATAAAATTTTCATCCAATATGTTACCAAACCATTTTCTTTGAATTACCTGGAAGTACTAAGCAGCATTTCCGTTCTTGTTCCACAGCTGGCCGGGAAGTGTCTTTGTTATGCCTTTGTATGTTGAGACTTATACACCCAAAAAACACCCGCTTAGAAGAAGTCATGATTATTACCTTTTAGAGGGTATTTAGAGATTGCTATCAGCTTGTAAAATCAACTGACCCTGGTCTTTTCTGCTGACCTGTCTCTCGATTTGCACGAATTCGACTACCCTCAACTATACATACTTATAGTCTTGCATTGTCGATGTTATTCTTCAGACCCCATTCATTCACTAGATATTATCTTGTTATCTTTTTACGCACATTAACGTTTATTTACTCAACTTCGACGTGCACACTGTGGTCTCGACAAAGTTATTCGTGTGAGCTCATAATAAGACTAGGCACTCCACTGGACTAACCTACACAGTACTCATATATCGCGTCAGCGTTCTTAAAATCCACATGTTTCACGACAATTTACCGTCCCCGAAAAGGTGATGGACTTGATTAACCCAAGGCATGGTTACTGTACGTCTTCAAATTCACTCTGCTTGTAACAACCGACGCATAAATAAATAAAATGGAACTCTCAGCGTTGATCAATCCCTGAGGGATGTGCCATGCGTTGCACTACATCAAGCATCATTAGAGGTGATTGAATACATATCTGACCTTTGCAATGAGTCGAGGTAGCCTACCGATGTATCGAGCTAGAGCTGCTATCCTCCCAGACAAGTCTGGTGCCAATTTGCCGACTCTGGAGGGAGAGGGGACAATCCGTGTGTGTTGCACTGTCCAAAACTACTTGTTGCACTGATCAGTATTGTAGGCTCAAAAATGTTATTATCTGTCTTACCTTACGTACAATCACATCAAAATATCATGTTTTACACCCAAGAAATCACACACTCCTCGTTTGAACTACGTGTACAACCAAAGGAAATGTGGAATAAAACGAGCCAGCACGAAAGCACAATACTTTCGAGGGCGAAATTCAAAATAAGAGAAATTTGAACTTCCACAAATACCAAACTATGAACAGCCAAATGGAAACTATTATTCTATATTTAGACGTCCTTAATCTCTCCTGCGACTGCTACAGCTTCGATTTCTACAAGTGCATGTTTCGGAAGAACAGCAACCTTAAAAGCATTTAAGAAGAATTAACAAGGTATCCATGAAGTCGTACCGATAAGGAAAAAAAAGAGAAAAAATACAACTTCAACCTGATAGGCGGCCCGTGCCGGGAACTTCGTTGTGAAGTAGTCTTTGTAGATATCATTGACAGTTGTGAAATCATTGATATTGGCTAGCAGAACCGTTGTTTTTACCACTGAAAAGCGTAACGATCACCACAACAATAGCTGTTTCATGAGGATCGAACTATGGTATATAATGTAACGCATGGATTCAGTCCAGGCCAAGAAATCAATTAAGTACAAAGGTGCCACGTGTTTCCATTCGTCTGCCCATCTAAAAGGAAGCTTATGCCATGGCATAGTTACACGAGCTACCATTGACCACTTTTTCGTTAGAGACAGCTAAGATAAAGGGTGATAGGAACAAACGGAAATTTTACTAGTGTACGCTAAACCAGTCGTTCAAAAGGTTGAAGTTCTCATTACTGGTCAACAAAAAACAGCAGTAAACTCATTGAACTTAAAAATTGCATGGCAGAATAATAAACATATTTTGCAAAATACTTGAGAAACATACCGTTACCAAATCCAACACCGGCAGCCTTCAATACCTCACCAACATTTTTGAGCGATTGGTGAGTTTGTTCTTTGATACCGTGTTTCAGTTCTCCAGTCTTTGGATCTAAACCAAGGGAGCCACTGATGTAAATTGTGTTGTCGACACGGACAGCTTGACTGAAAAGAGCTAACATTTTCTAGTCTCCTTAAATTCTTTTCAGCACCACAATCGCAATGTTTCCAATGTTTTTGACAAAAGATTGTTGTAACCAAGTGACTACGCAAGAGACACTTAAGCAAAGCAGCAGTGTTTAAATGGAAGTAGAAGTATCCATACGATTATAAAAACCAATGAATTGGCAAGAGAGTTAAAAAGATGTGACTACAAAAAATGTCCTATTTTCCTCGATATGAAAAGGTCTTCCATTCAGCTGAAACTGATGCGGTCACGAAGGCCTTGCATAATTACGCTGCTGTACGGCGTCAATGAAATAATACCCTCTTCACATCTACTATCTGAACCCCAGCACTTGCGTTCCATCGACGATCTTCGAACTTCATGCGAGTGAGTGAAGCTGCTGCTTGAAGATTATCTTCTTTATGTTTGCCGTTGAATGCTGATCAAGTCGATTCTCCTGCAGACCATGCTAGTAAAGTCCCACTTGGATTGCAGTTTATAGAGAAGTCTCGTACCAATTTCTGGACCCAGTAGGGATGGGAGGTTTGATGAGCCTAGGGCAGGGTCGCCCTAGCACCATGCTCGTCATTAGCGGCATCACTACCATTGTGCTATCCCCTTCCGCAAGTACCAAGTCATTATTCGATACCAGACTATTTACCGCCACTCTCGAATACGTCATGCGAGACCGGAAGTAAATATACCGTGGTATACGGCAGTAAAATTCGATGTTCAGCATTTACCAGTTCGGTTTATTGAGGACATCGCTCGTATAAGGTCAAGAATTGATCCAGCGAAGAAAAAAGTACACCTGACTCCATGCCCAACTTTCTGAATCGATCCTTGACTCGATTCCCGACTCGATTCCTCCCTAACTGAAGTGCATCAGGAATTTTTGCGACCACGGTGATGGAACGAACGACAACCACCTAACGCGCTATCGAGATGGAGACGAAAAGTATGCGATGATGTTGCAGAAAGAACAAGAACAAAAGAACGATGAAGCAAATTTGTTAAGCCGAAATGACGATGCGCGTCTTAACGACAAATGGTCGATGGAGCTATCAAGGACTGGGTTCCACTGATGCAAACGTACAGCAGGAAGATAACTATGGTCAGCCATTCGCACAAAGATCGAAGAGTATAGTACTTGCCTATCGAATAAGCAAAACAAACTGTGCATTTGGCACATGACAGGTGTTGAAGGTCACCTTACTGGTACTCGTACCAATCACCTAATGATGATCACTTGAGGATGAGTAGTAGAGGCTAGTAAATAGTAAATGTGGATTAGCGAAAAGTAGCACAGCTTAACGTATCAAGAATATGTGGAATATCGTTTGTGACCTTTTTTAGATTACCTTATACATTTAGGCAATTTCCTTATTTCAAACAAATAACATGTTCATGTGAAACTGCAACAAATCAGCTGAAATGAAGGTACGTATGGAAATCAAGAAACAGAGTACGGGAATTCCCTAAATGTACACGGTGTTCTATAAATAACGAATAAAGCGAACTGTTGCAAAAATTTCCTCGTCCTTAAACCACTAATGTTCTCCAAAATTGCATAGGAGGATAGCAGAGTGGTAGTGGTATCCGTCATCCGAGTGCTAGTTTGATTCCGCGCCGGGCCACCAAAGTCTCTTATTCCTTCGGAGTCGGGAAATTGGTACCGAACGTGTCCGGGAAAGACCCACTCTCTGCAACCCAACTGGGAACGCTCTAGTCTGGCTATCTCAGGACTCCAGAGAGAATCGCCTCGACCAGAATTCTACTAAAACGTTAAAGATGGAATGAAAGTAACCGAAGCCACACGTGAAAATTGGAAGATCTTTGTGGATGATGGATGCGAGGAAACGAATCGAATGTTAGAAGTATTGGGACCCGCACAGTATACGTGAAGTCGGGACATATAAAATAAGAGAAAAATTACATAAATCGTAAGGAACCTTGTGAACTTAGTTGCACATACCTGTATGGTCCTAAAGCTGCTGGAGCATTTGCTGAGTGGATGATTTGTCTTGTAACTTGGGCCATCTTTTCAATTGTACGCTTCCTTAACAAGCAAAGAACAAGAGAATGAACTCGCCATGCGGAACAATATAATAGACGAGCTGTCATCTTTGGCTAAGGTGGTAACGATATCTTACGAGGTTCCCGAGACGAATACTAGCGATACTACGTCACCATGAAAGGTAGGGCGTTAAACATGACCAGGATTTGCCTTATATATGCTCTAAAATGAGGGTAGATTCATCAGATTGGCTTCCAGTTTCCGATAACCCGATTTATCTAATTCTTCCGCATGCTCTTATATATGACCATGAAAAGGACTCGTGCGACGCGATCGTCGGAGGTGCTCTGTAATATATATGGAATCGATCCCCGCGCTCATGGCTCACCAAGCCTTCCATCGCTCCGGGATCGGCATATTGTTACCAGACTTGTCTGGGAAGATTACAGCAATAACTTGATACATCGGTAGGCCACCGCGAGTCATTGTATGGGCCAGATATGCATCTACTCACCTCCAAACGATGCTTAGTGAGGTCGAATGCATGGCGCATCCCTCAAGGATTGATAAACGCCTAGAGCTTCAGCTTTTTTCATGACTGTGAATATATGCAAGACGGCTATAAGATTGTAGTCAAGTGTCCAGGAAAAACATTAGCAGGCGGTTAGACGTCGGCGCTAACAAAAAACCTTTGGTACGGTCTGATAGGTCACCCATCGGTATCTGTCATCAATAAAGGACTTTGTGGAAGAAGTGTAATACTCCTCGTAGCCCACTGCGTTGTTCTAACCTCCGACATGACAGCTAAAGGTCAACTGCAGAAAAGATGGCTTGTCTGAAACTAAAGTTCTGTACGGATATTCGGAACACTGACTGTACATAGGGAGCCAACCACATTCCTCATCAAAGAAACCAGTTTAACAGATAGGGATAAAAAGATGAAGCTTTCAGTGTTGATCAAGGAATGAGGGATGCGCCATGCACTCGACTTCATTAAACATCATTGGCGGTGATTAAATGCATATATGGCCTCTACAATGACTCGCCGTGACCTGTCGATGTATCGAGCCAGTGCTGCTATCCTCCCAGACAAGTCTGGTACCAATTTACTTACCCCGGACGGATGGAGGACTTGGTGCGCCTGGGACGCTGGGATCGAGCCCATGTTCATCACAGGGCGCCTCTGACTACTGAGCTACACGTACCTCCAGTTTAACAGAAACCCTGTTAAATGTTGGTTTCATAACAAACTCATGAAGAGATACCATTACTACCAAAGAGAAAAACTAAGGTCTTTCAACATAAATGTGGACAAAAGTTAGAAATATATGGTCAAACAAGTTCAAGAGCGAATTGGTAGCTGGCTGGAATCAATACTGACTATGGCACCGACGTGTGGGAGGTGACACCGTAACGCACTGGGAACAAAGAAAAAACGAATCGAAAAGTGTATGATGATGGGAATCAATGTGCATATTCTTCATTACTAAGCTTACAAGAGGTTGTTATAAAACATATATTACGGTTAACGTTTCGGCACCTCTGCCTTCTTCAGATCTGAGATGATCCGAGTTGAATCCATTGCAGTCGAGCACCGCTCGAATGGATTAACTCCAAACGGTGGTCAACCAACATAGGAGTCAACATAAGCCTGAGTTACAAAGAAACCCGATGATTACATGCATTAATAGATACAAATAAAACAGTGATGCACAGTCACATGATTGTTAACCAACCGGTGAACAATACGTTATCGATTTTCGACTCCATTGTTCGTAAGATTCAATCCTATGATAAAAGCTCAACCCTATCTAAAACTTATAATTCGAAGATCAAGGGAAGCTGCCTGCTCTAAGTACATGAGGTATTTCACTCATCAGTACGTAGCGTAGTGGTCGGAAGCGCTCTGCAACACATACGTGGAATTGATTCCCAAGCCCCTGTCCCAACTAGTCTTCTGTCCCTCTGGGGTGGGCAAATTGGTACCAAGCTTATCTGGAAGGATAGCAGCAATGGCTCCATACAACGGTAGGCCCTTACGAGTCATTGTAAAGACCAGATATGCATTCGATCACCTCCAACGACGCTTAATGAAGTCGAATGGATGGCGCATACCTAGGGAATTGATCAGCGCCGATAGCTTTATCCTTCATTTTTTATTGCTTCATTCAACCACGAATACAGCCCTGGTTTTTAGTCAGATGTCGGGCCGTTCCGTTCCTTATCCGACCCTCATTTAGATGGTTCATGTGGTGGAGGCATTTTTCAACTTCTTCAAAATTAATTGCACACATACTGTAATGAACTTACATCTCGGCACAACGGCAACCTCCTATGAATACACTGAGAACTGTAAAATGAATGCAGATGACATGAAGAAACGTAGCTGATAACATCAACGGCTATCGACCAATAGGCAAAATACACCGTTCCTTTAAATCGAGAAGAAAGACGGTCTTAACAAGAAAAAAGCAACAGACCACGGTTATTCGCCGGGCACCATTTTAGGTTCAGCAGAAAGGCATCCCATCAACAATGGTAGCAGCAAGTACAGTAAGTGGGACTAGATGCTCTCCCAATACATTGACCGAGAAGACAGACAGACTTGCCAAATGAGAGAAATCCTTAGAGAAAACTGATCAGATTCATAGATTTTCAATCCACAGATACACCTAATTGACCAGCATTATTCCTACCGATGTAGTACTAGGCTTCCACAACTTCTGAACTATTCCTGGAACTTTCGCAGCATTTTACCATCTGAATGGTATAAGAAACGAGTGAATCATTAGCAGCTAGGGCTGTGAATACGCGGTATTACTGCGGGTCTACTAACTGATAACTGTCATCATAACAATTGCATCGGTAATCGATAAGACGGCCAAGATAACCAGCCGAACGAATAGAACATAACACATGCACTACCAAAACCAAGTCTGGGACTCTTATCCTGCAAATCATCCAGTAACTCAAGTAGGGTAACGTCTCTAGCCGTCCTCGATTGCAAAGTTTGAACTCTCCAGTCGACGACGCATGAAGAACGTCACATGTTTGATATGATGAGCTTTTAGTAGCTTAAAGATAAGCTAGCTCGTACGTGTAGTTCACTGCATCTGCTGTACCGCAATACAGGGCTAATCATAGTAGGCTTCCAGACGAAACCGAACTCCTTCACAAACCCTGTAGTGATCTGAATTCTCCGTATTAAACTCCCACACCCAGGATACTTTAACCAGCCCCTGGTAACAAGTGAACGATGTTACAAATAATTCCGAAATCAAAGATAGCACGATAACAGTATGGATTATAGAGGAGAAAAACATAATTCACTTTATTACTTAGTATATCTAACTGAAAGATCAATTCAAACGAAGAACAAGAATTGGAAACGACATTCATAGCTAGCGGAAACCTCAGAAACCCAATCGATCACAATGGGGCACCATCAAGACTTTTCCGAAATATCTGGCCAGAAATCAATGAATAACCAAAACAAGCTCGAAAAACTTAAAGATATATTTCGCTTGACTGAGATTTTACACGAGATAACACACTGAACAGTACCCGAACAAACACGTATACCAGTTGAGCTAACTTACAATTACATCACGGCTTCTTCAGAACTTTCTTGATTAACAGCATGCGTTGTTTATGGGCCTCTGTAGGCTGCGGGGTAATACGGTCCGGCCGGATCGCAGCCGGCGCTCCGAACACATGCACGGCCGCTCGTGGGACAGAGGGCATTTTGTACACTACATCGAGCACGAATTCAACGTCGCGAGCTTCGATACGGTGATTGCCACGATGCTTCACCAGCCGGCATACATGGTGGACCAACTCGTTCACATACTCATCTATGTAATCGCAAAGAATATCCTATAAAAAAACAATATAACATGGAAAAAGGTAGTGACTTATGTATCCTACTTGGCGCATTAGCCTACTTTTGCCACTTTTAATTTGTGCTAATAAAAAAAAAAGTCAACGGACACAGACTAATCCTATGGATGCGAATAAGACATAAAAAAGAGACAGATTGCAAAATATGGACTTTCAAGAAGTAAAAAACGATTCTCAGCAAGAGCAAGACTAACGACTCATCGCACAAGGAGGTGTAAAATACGATTTTCCATACGAATAAGACGACAACAGCCCATAGTGAAGATCTCAGGACTATCTATTACCGTCTAGACACATCTGAAGTCCAGAGTATCATATAGGTGAACCTCAGTATCCTGTATACTAGATGAATGGATCCTTGAAAAGACGACCATTAAAATATTCATGAGTGATACGACGTAAAGTCGATGTAAAGAATCTTTCCACAAATACCACCAAAAGCGGTCGTAATAGCAAAATACGATACTCAGCTGCGAAAAGCTAACTAATCTCCATGACGAAAAAACTTCACTGTAGAATCTCAGGAAAGGAGCAACCGACATACGATGCGACTTCCAAATCCTCCCATCCTTAATTGAAGTGATTACAAATGGAGGTCTGACAAAGCGCTTCGTTTTTTGGAAATTTGCACCAGTACTAAGACGCTTTTACGAAACAATTTCGAACACATGGTAGAAATTTCCTACAGAGAAATTAAATCTAAGCCTAACCACTACAACAAACAACTGCTGATCAAGAGCGTGCCGAAAAATAAAACCAAACTAATTGATTTACTCTGACCTATGAAAACGTTTGAAAGCCCGCCGTGCCCACCTATAAAATATGACTGTTTCTCTAAGTATTCGTAAAAAATTTTGAATAACAAAATCTAGCATAACCACAGAGGTTGGAATTGGTTATGGAGAGCATGAGCAACCGACCATCTTCGATGATTGAGAATACCTAAAGATAAAAGCGGTACTCCAGATTTAGAACTTGATCAGAATCCGGGCCAAAATTTGTGATTCTGTTGTCCAGAGTCTCTGCACAGCAGCTGTAGTAGACATCATAAATCTCTATGAAAATAAATCCTTGACAAAGGATTGCTTAAGTTAGGAAAGTTATGGAAATTAACACCGAGATGTTTTGATCAGCTATATGAATGTCATTTATAAGACACAGAATTTCTTCCCAGTGCTCATGCTAAGCGTCTAGATAAATTTCGAAATGTCTAAAAAAATACAGGTTATTTACGCCGAGGTTAAACAAGACTCGGTTCTGAAAAGCTTCGAGCCTTCCGTTCCCTGTGGAACGAACGTTAGTGGGCTAGCTTTAAACTCACCAAAGCAGCATTATCTCGCTACCGCTGCTTCAAAAACAGCACAAAAATAAAGTTAGTTGGTTGTGATGAGAACAAGTGCATATATCTTATCTAGACGGTTTAGGGACTAGACTGCCATATATCAGAGAATGAACAGTTGAGAAGCAGAGATATGATGAGAAAGCTAGAATGAAGTAAGGAAGCTAAACTCTGGGCTGTCTAGTAAACTGTAAATAAAAAAAGTTAACACTGTTATTTCGACTGCAGCCTCAGCATAACTGGGGTCAATGCCGATTTTGGCTCACCAGAGCAACCCCGTTGACGAGTAATTGCTGATGGCACTGATCGATAGAAAACTAGCTGACAAATAGGCGAAACAAAGGACCCACATAGTGTGGGGGTGAACGCCTCAGCCCGCGAAAAGGGTTATAGTGAGTCTCATTCCTACCGCAGACACCTGCCGTCTGGAGTTTTGCAAATATCCCAGCACCATTCTAGGCTGATTGCTGCAAAGATCTCGCCATCGCAAAGACAAATCCAATGCATATTGAAGACGTCCAACGTTGACAAGAAGACTATCCAAGTCGTTAAGATAACATACGCGAATTACGGACAGCACCGAGATATCACCCGTGGATGGATTTCCGGTTCACCTCTCAGCAGATCATCCAACCAGCTATCCAGAAAATAGCCGAACGTTCAAATTTACTCCCAGCGTTAATACACTCTTTCTGGAGCAACAAAACAGTAGTCTGTGATGATGCACGATGCAATTAGTACGTTCTTATCTTATTTATATTCATTAACATAAAATATTACCTTCACAACGTCGTCAATAACTGTGTTGCTGCTAATCTGCCTCACTAATTCGTCAATTCGAGTGCGATCCATTACAGAACCGTTAGAGCTCGGTGGCGCCAGCATTTGCTGCACATTGGTCCCTGGCGGAGGCGGTTGACCACCAGGCAGAGCAGCCACCGGTGGACGAGTGGATGCCACCTGTGCAGTTGGTGGTCGCGAACCTATGTTTGGCGCCGAGGAAGAATGAATTGGCTGTGGCTGTTGCGGTGGATTCGCATGTACAATCTGCATCGTAGTTTGTGGGTTGCTGCTCACTCGCATAACTGGTTGTGAGATGGGTCTCTGCGCAATTTGCTGAACAATACGCTGTTGCGGCACACCAGGCGAGTGCTGAAAGACCTGCTGCACAGTACGTATCTGTTGCGTCGGTTGTGAACCACCCTGTGGATACGGCACGATATGTGGTGCTCGGCCTTGTTGTTGAAGCTGAACACGAATAGGACCGCCTCCACCCTGCTGAATTTGTTGCGACTGCTGTGGAGCAACGCCTCTTGAACTCAACGCCGCGATTAGATGTGTAGGACCACCAGACTGATTCGATGGTGATACCTCATGTCCTTCCGACATTACAACTGAAACGTACTACTGTTTCATATATAGGTACACGTAATGCACATATAATGGAATAATAGATATTCTCCACCAAGCATTTGTTGTCAGTTCACACCACTTCCCACCCATGGATCACAAACTAACACGGATAGGCTTCTCAACGATCATGAGACCATATCATGAACAACACAGCTAACTAGCACAATTGGCAATCCCTTACGTGAACCACATTAACACTCTTCACCTTCAATTCTTCGACAAAGCAAACAAAACTTTAAAAAGCAACAAAAGCAACACTATGTATAACCTAAAACATGTGCCGCCATTCCCTCGTCCTAAGCAACTCAATCTCTCACAACTGACTTGGGTACTCTGGGGGATCTGTCAATTTAAACACTTCTCCATATATTAAAATTCCGATATATTAACAATTCAGAAGTACCCTATCAAACACGATAGCATGTCAACTGGAAGAATGGTATACTGCGACATCGCATGTAATAGAATGAAAAGAGCATTCCTCATAACAAACGATTTATATAACAATTACAACAAATTTAGTAGGCCGGTGTGACTTCAACAGGTTGCATCGGTGGAGGAACAATTGGAAGATTGTCCTTCATCTCGACTTTATGTTCTGAACTAGGTTCAGTGGGATTCTCCTCAGGTATGGGTTTAAGGATCTGTACATGATCAGGAAGAGCGTTCTTTGGACCCATCTGACCTCGAGGATCGTGAGGAAGCATTATCTTTACCTTGATACCAATGACACCTAAAAACAAAGGTTGATGATTTTGAAAACCGATTCAGTATTAATGATTAATATCGTATCCTATGGAAAGTTTAGACAAAATTTCTAAAGAACTTTTTATGGCTGACGTTTCAGTACGAAAAATTCATATCACATCATTTTTTTTTTCATGGTGCGATATTCTACTACATTTGATTTGACTCGATGCGACCACGATGATCCACTCTCCACAGAGAATAACTACTGTTGACACTTGTCTCGAATCACTATGGCCCGAAAAAATGTAATGACATCAAAAAGTTAGCCACAATAATGTCTTGGAGTAATCACAAGTTCACTTTTCAATACAGCAAAATATTGATTGTACAACCCTATACCACCAATGGGCGCATGTAGGGCGATTAAGAATAACAATGCGACAATAACAATATGCAAAGTTACCAAGTAATAGCAAACAAAAGTAAAGTTGATAGTGTTGGCGACAAGGTTCAAGCCAGTTACAAGTAAATTTTAGCCAAATGAAAACTAGAAAACCAATATCACCTTGGCGAAGTTGAACGTGTCGAACAGCCTGCTGAATGTACTCGTTAACTGGGTTACCAGAATGAATCATCAAACCATCAACGAATTTCATAGCCTTAGCACGTTGACCACGCAGCTTACCAGACACAATAACCTATATCAATAGCTAGAACATAAAGAATAAACGAGTAAGTGAACAACTAAGAAAAAAATAAGCAAAATAGGAAATATCTGACGATCAAGGCTCGAAATAATACCATCAGGGAATTAGGACAAAATGTAAACGAGAAGCGTCTTCCCAGGAAAACAAGATACAAAGAAGCAGAAAAAACGATTACAGAGTGTGTTTACCTCACAGCCTTGGGCTTGGGACTCCATAATGAAACGGAGCACTCCGTAACAAGCTCGTCGAACCGCCAAACCTCCTACAAGCTTGTATCGGAGCGATTCACATTGAGCAACGGCACAAAGTCCACGATTGGACACCTTCTCAGCGTAGAGCTAGGCACAGAAAACGTTACCAAAATCAGTTATATATTCAAAAGACTACTGTGAGTAACTATGAAAACCAATGAGCACAGAAAATCCAATAACGAAAAACTTCGGCCACAAAAGTCGTTCCACCTCTCTGAATCTACTTCTAAATTCATTTTGCAACACTACTTTCCCTATGGTTTAAACTAAGCAGAGCAACCAAGACCAATATTGCTCATACTGAAAAGGCTACATATTACGTTGTGCTCTTCAATAACTTGACTCGAAAAAAGATTACTTTTCTGTGCTTGAGCAGAAAATATTTGGAAGATCTTTGCTAATGAAGAATAGGAGCTGGAAAACATGCCGAGCGCCAAACGATGTCTTAAATCGGGTAAGCAAGACATGTTTGAGAAGACCTTTTTATTGGCTATGATAAAATACCACGGATGGTGATTTAATAAACGTGATTTTATATCAAGACCAAATTACCCATACCTCAACAGATCCCTCCTCAAAACCGAAGCGTTTCTGGACAACGGAAGTCAATTCTTTGATGCGACGTCCTCGTTCTCCAAGTACGGATTGCGTACGAGTAGCCATGATGATGACTTCAGCACGAGCAGGTGTACGGCGCACCTTCAACGCCCAGATTAGGACTACAAAGTCAAACTTCAGGTTCATAGATCAGCCAAGATATCGATTCTTATATAACCGCCAAAAGTGCTTTGATAACCAAAATATTCAAATTGTGCATTTGACAAAACTAAGGAGTTCCCTGACTTATTTTATAAGGATTCTTCTCCAAATAGATCTGAAGGATGAATTAAAAAGAAGTAAATTAGTGCTGTAGTGGCGCTCACCAGCACCATCAACACGTGATACTGCTGCACTTCGACAGGAAGCAATAATGGTTGATTGACCTAGTTGTTGAACGGGAATCAAGAGGATAAATGGGAAAAGGATGAGTCGTGAAACAAAGCTCAAGCTTCATTCTACTGAAGTAAATTCATTTTTGTGGGCAAAAATGCGAACAATCTGATGAATTTTATTTGTATTGACACATTATGAGAGATACTGTCCTGACCACAGTTATCAAAGCTCACCTCAACACCAGAGTATCCATCCTCGGCAAGTTCCTTCATCAAAAAGTTGTTCAGTTCAGCCTTGAAAACACCGTCTAAAACGGCTTTCTTCTTCTTGGTGATTTGTGGAGCACTTGCCATATTTTCCCTTTGTTCAAGACACCTACAACTCCAAACACTTCTTCTGAAAAGCAACCAAGTTATTCTAAGTAGTTCCGTAGTCAGGACAAAACAGGAAGAAATAACAATTGGTGGATCAACAGAAACTGACAAAGTCTGCAACTAAGAGGAAAAGTGATAATATCTAAAACAAGTATAACCGTTACAAACAGTCATATACCCACAAAGAAATAGCAGGACATATGTACGTCACAACAAGGCAAATATAAGCGAACTACCGATCTCTCTTGACAGTATAAAGACAGTCAACAGCAGAGTTAACAGACGGGGATATTACGTTTGAACATACGAGTTCTCCACCAAGTTATAAACCGAGTCTTCCTGTTATTCTGTCGAATATCTCAATAAAACCTAGAAGCACAGTCAACAAAGGGAAGATGTAAACGTTTTCTAAAGAAATGTGTTTTTCTCAGAACTCCAGTTCTAAAGCCGCTTCTCCCAAGCTACCATTCGGATTTGATACACTTCGAAGAAGCACCATAGACAAATTGAGGCTTTGAACATGCTCCGACATTGGCTACAAAGCTCAGATAACCTCAATAAAGTCAAAAAATGACCAGATATTACAAGTTATTGAAAAATAGATGGTTCGTTGAAACCACGCTTCAAGGAAGAATACTCAGCTAACAAAAACAACAGTGAACCAAATATCCAGGTGGGACCCGCTCTATTGGAGAGTTAAACTCGTCCGCCATCGAGCCACGTCACAGCGCCGTGCGTGAGGGTCCGCACGTGTGATGTTCATCGTTGTTGAGCTTCATGCGCAGTAAACTGTTAGATCTGTATTTATGACGAACTAAGTTCGTTTACTTTCAGTTTTAGCATTACTTTGAAAGCCCGAGAAAAGCTAGTTCTTTGTTGTGATGCCTAGGAAGAGCCGTTATATTGATTGAATTCGCTGTGTTGTTGCCTATAGGAATCAGTATAGGCTCCATTTTTTGTTATAAATATACGAATCCCGTTGAAGACGGTTATGCAACATCATTAGTATGAATACATCCCTCAGTGTCAGGGTGGAAACTACTGGATTTAGCCTTTCGTAGTACTGTATGTAGTTACTTGGATATACTTGGACGGCTCGTCCTCACTGGTTGTGCGAGTCCCAGTGTAATCTCCATTCGGAGTTTTTCTGGCCTAGCCATTGTGGTTCCCTAGAGGTCAGAGGTAAGCTGGGACAAAGCCTGCCCCAGGTCGTCGCCACCACAGGCAGTCGCTCACCTTGCGGGTCAGATGATTTGCCACCATGTGACTAGTTTGAAACCAGGACGGTGGTAGATGCTGGTCTTGGTTAGAGGTTTACTCTTAGCTGGGCTTCGTGATGAAAACGTTGGACTCGTCATCTTGGGAGACCTTGCTGGGGAGACGAATCCCTCCGCTGTACATCGCAGGCCGACACCCAGGAACTTGTCCAAGCCACGATAGGGCCGTAAACCGTTGGGAGGAATGTATGTAGTTAGTAAGAGCAATAATCAAAACGTTTCTTCATGCTGTTAATGTTCTGTTTGAGACGTACGTATAAAAGAAAACGACCTGAAAGGACTCATAGTTGGCGTGCTACTCACCCTCCTGGAAAAATCCAGGAGCCGATAAGAGTGTGGAAAAAGTGGATTTCCAGAAATAAACATAACATGGGGATATGAAATGTTAGCATTGGCGTTGACTTTAGTTTCCTGGTGACAAATCAATAATTCAGCTTCTCCACTTAGAAGTAAAGTGATGTGTAAAAGTGTACTCGTAGTGCTCCCCACGAGTAAACAAAAACAAAAAGAGAAAAAGATCCACTTGGTTTGTTGTCTGTGAGTTAACACAGAGTTGTTGGCTTACATACTGCGTCATGGTTAACGTTATGGCCGATAGATGACTCATCTTAACCGTGACAGAATAACAGCAAGTAGCAAAGCTTAAGGTCATAGTTCAGTAGTTCGCTCCGATAATGCAGATGTCACTTCCCATTGTGATCACTAAATCGACGTTTGAATCTTCTCTTCGCGATGATTTCTTATTATATGACGAAATTCTGTTGAAAAGTGGTTAATAAAGATCTACATATACCGTTGTCTATAACCAGTTAGAAGGGCGCGTGTAGCGCAGTAGTCGGAGGCGCCCTGCGATACACAAATAGGATCGATCCCCGCGTTTGTGGATCACCAAGCTTTCCATCCCTGCGGGGTTGGCAGATTGGTACCAGACTTGTCTGGGAGGATGGAGTGACTCGATACATTCGGCCACGGCGAGTCATGGTAAAGGCCAGATGTGCATTCAATCACCTCTAACGATGCTTAATGAAGTCGAATGCATGGCGCATCCCTCAGGGATTGATCAACGCCTAGAACTTTATCCTTTATTATTTTATAACCAGTTGTTGAAACTAGCTGGTACTCCTACTTAAACAGATGATTTGTAGATGTCCCATGCAATGTGGAGGACCACGGCTGCTTATTATATTGCCTTCGCGACCTTATAGTTCTATACAATGGAGCTTTCCCCCAGATTCTCTCACATAAGAGATTTTGAGCTGGTTAGTCATGGGACCACTTGATGGCAGATCATGTCGGCAAATAGGCTGCTATACCATAGATGGACCTGTGCCCACCATGATATAGGTGTTTTGAGGAGGTAGCGGTCTACCTAAAAGAAACTTGTGTCTTCCTTTATACTAGTTTTATTAATAAGAACGTATTTAAGCAGACTTACTGTCTTTGGATTTTATCCTGTACATGTATTCGGCTGAAAACCAGCCATATGGCTTGCGATTTTTGGTCTCAAGCAAATGAGCCCTATGACTGTTACTTCAGAGCCCTGATATTTCCCTCGAATAGTGGAGTCCTACTAGGGAGCTCGGTCGTGGGAGGTGACAAATGCAGGCTTTAACGATGCCGGCTCGATTCACTCGGTTTGGTGGGATTACATGTGTTGCAGGTAATCCTCCATCCGAAGAGTCGTACTGTTATTGGTTACGAATGAGGAGGGCTACACGATAATTCAGTTTCCAATGTATTGCCATTGCCTCATATTCTTATAGGGACGCATACCGGAGTCCCAATCCGATTTCACGGTGGGCGGAGCAGAGTGCTTCATGTGGACGAGTTCCACTGGGATGGTCCCAGCGAGGAGTGACCATCGTACCCTACAGTCTGGAAAAAAGTCCTATTAAATGGTTCCCTCGAGTGAGTTGTACTACTTTTTGATCTCTCTATTAAAACTTTTAATTCACGTTTAGGAACTGCGTCGTTTTTTAGTACCAGTCACAAAGTAGCTCTAACAGAAAATGTGTTTTTGACTACTTTCAGGTATGGATGAGGGGAAAATAGTATTAATCGGGAACGAGTCAGACGTTCTTCATTGCGGATACAGCCACGCAATCTCTGACGCCGGAAAGAGGTGTGTTTTAGTGTTTCACAAGCTGAAGTTGTTATTTCCGTGAGCATTGCTGAGTTCATGCTTCAAGTACTTCCCTCTGTATCTCTGCATATGGTTCACCACTTGTGCTATGTAGGCGAAGCGTGTAGCGCAGTGGTCGGAGGCCACCTGAAATACAAATGGGATCGGTCTCCGCTCTGAAGGATCACCAAGCCCTCCATTCCTTCCGGGGCCGGAAAATTGGGACCAGACTTGTTTGGTAGTATAGCAGCATTGGCTCAGTATATCGCTGGGCCACCGCAAGTCACTGTAAAAACCAGATATGCATTCAATCACCTCCATCGATACTTAGTGAACTAGAATGCATGTCGCATGCCTTATTGATTGATCAAAGTCGAAAGCACCATCCTTTTTTTACGTGCTATGTATGATTCGTTTTTGGATTTTAGCATTAAAAATGTGCTTTAGATATTTTTATAACGACGATTGTTGTTGTTTCAAACTATATTGAGATTGAGTTCACAGTTTTTTTTAATACGAAACAAATAGGACAGAAAACCTTTCGCAACACTTATTTCAGGTATCCTAGTGCGGTGCATTACACCCATTCTATGATTTTAAGCCAACTAGGAGTAGATGAAAACGTAATTCTGGAACTTTTGTGCACATCAGCATGTGATGTTCCTTTAAAGGTTAGCTACTTTTTGTCTACTGTTTATTTCCTTCCATCCATCTCACCAGGGGCCGCAGTTTTTTCTCTCATAAGAGTTTCTTTTCTCATACTAAGGTCATTGTGGAGGCGGTACAGCATTCGACTTATTGCTGGTTAGCTTTGTTTCTGAAGTCCAGTCAGAAAATCCACTATAATTACGCTAAAGTAATGATTAGTTGTGGCTGGGGACTCACAATCGAACGATAGGGTCGGGCGTCTGTCATTAGCTGGTTGTGTTTCGTCATTTCAATCATTCTGTAGACAGTACCGTTGGGAGGCTCCCAACGGTTTATCGCCTCATAGTAGCTGGGAGGTGTTCCTAGGTGTCGGACTGCGATTTACAGCGGGCAATTCGTCCCCTTGGCAAGGTCTCTCAAACTGAGAAGTGGTCCAGCGTTTCTGTCGGGAAGCCTAGCTAAGAGTAAACCAATACCAGGGTCAACCACCGTCCTGGTATCAAAGTTCAATGGTGGCAGATCTCTCCCTGATCCACAAGGACAGCGGCTGCTTGTCGTGGTGACGACCTGGGGCAGATTTAGGCCAGACTGTCCTCGGGATTCCAAGGAACCACAATGACTTAGCCAGCAAATCAAAAATGGTGATTATGCTGGGCTCACACGACTAGTGAGGTCGGGCCGTTCAAGTATCAAGGAAGTATCTGTAGGCAGTAAAGTCATCGTATCCTATTCATCACGTTTGCAATGTGTGGTTGCCATTCTGTCAGATGTTTTTCCTCGTGAATTTGAAGAGTAGGATAGAATTCAAGGTTAGCTGTAGTCGGTCTTAATCAGTGTCGAAGTTCTAGTGGTCAGAATTCTTTCCGATTTTCATATATGTGAAAATATATGTTGTGAACTATTTTCGCCTTTCGCGTGCCTATGCGAAAATAACATTTAGTAATAATAACATGTCTGAGAGAAAGGCGAAACGAAGGACCCGCATGGTGTGGTTTTGAATGCGTTAGCCCCTGGTGAAAATGATAGTGTGTTCAATTTCCACCACACACACCAGTGGTCCGGAGTTTTGCAAATATCTTAGCATTATTATGCTTATACAAAAGTTTCCTTTGAAGGCTCGTCAGCTTCTGTTGGAAAATATGCCAACGGGACACGACATGAATTCGCTTGCTTCTTATCTTCAGAGTAGCAAACAGGCATATTCCATGCAAGGATTGCGATTACGTGTAGAACAGGACAAGCGTAAGATTTGTTTTTTTTTGCGCAAACTCATCGTAATAGTTTTCTCATAGTTTTTTCTACCTTGTCATTTCTTTCTCGATTTTAAGTATTCGAGAAAGCACTGATGAACACAAAGGAAGCATTGCTAATCGTATGTGATCCCCGTGACAAAGAGTTGGGAATAGGTTCGTTTTCAAGTGTTTTATTTACTGGTACCCTTCAATTTCAACTGATGAATAGAGCATTTTTTAAAGTTTTATTCTTTTAGGAAATTTCTTTTGCAAGGTTTTTATATGTGCCTTGTCTACATTTTTTTTTTAGATTAGCATGAGTCAAGTTATGGTTTAGGTATGGATGAAAATCAGTTTGTGGAGTGGATGGCTCGCGAGAAGGCAGATTCTCAAATGGTTGAATTTTGGATGAAGAATGAGGCTGCTAAGCCCCTTGCCTTGGGTGGGAACCAAATGGGGTGAGATAAAACATCTTAGGTCTTGTTTTAATTCTATCGTCATTGAATGTAGCTTCCCATCGATTTACTTCGTTCTATTTAGTCGGCATTTCCATGGTGCTTCGAGAAATGTTTTTAATCCGTATTAATATCGTTTAGGTTTTTTCTAATGTGGTTACGGTTCGAAGTACGGGAGAAGAAGAAAGCAGCTATGCTAAACAAGCAACCGCTTGAGATCGAGGGGCTTTCAACAGACAATGACGATAATCCTATTAAAATCAAAGTCAACGACCAGATTATCTCTCTTCAAGTGTGTTGTCTCACCTCTTATTTACGCCTTCATTCTATGGCGTTCGTTCTAAATTCGCTTTAGGGTATATTTCGTCCATTGAGTAACTACTACCCGCTACCATTTGAAATGAAGGGTGAACGTTATCGATCGGTGGAACATTATGCTTATGAGAAATTATTTATTGCTCTAAAACTGGACGACAAATCGATTGAGAAGATCCAAACAACAGTATTGCCCGTTGATGTGGCCACAACGGCAAGACGGTATCTAATGAAGCATGAGGTTTCCTTTTCTTGTAATGTGCTGCTGCTTTCTTAGAAGCAGGTTATTATTCTCTTTCATTTTAAGATTCCTGAGTCTACCATAGAGGCAAAAATGTCTAAAATGGATCGATGGCGACAATCAGCAATGAAGCATAAAATTGCGCAAAACGAATATCTACAGCAACTTTTGCTTAGCACCGGAGATGCTCTTCTCATTGATTGTTGTGGTTTGTGGTTAAACCTCTGATTTTTTTTCCTTTCCTAAGATGTCATTTACTTCTAAGTTCATACTTTTCTATTACAATAGCTCTTACAATGGTTGCCTAATGACGTGATGACCTATTACTTTTTAAAGCTTACTTATTATTGGAGACGATCATGTCTGTTTAGTATCTATTTTTTTTGATTTTTAATTATTAGAAGGTGAGCCAATGTGGACTTGTGCTTCGTCTGAACGTGAAATGCAACGGTTACTAACGAAGCCTTACATTGGGCCAGCAGATCTTATAAAATGGATGAGAAACAAGGTTATGGACAATTTTAGTTCTTTTTCACATTGGTGAATAGAAGTGAAAAGGTCTAGAAAAGATGGGGAGCGAAAAATTTTCCGGTCTATAGAACTTTTTGTGGAAATTTCTTTGAAAAACCTCCGTTTTCAGGACGACAAAACCCCAAAAACATTGGCTCATCTAGTTGGTAACAAAACTGGTCTCCTTCTCATGGAGTTGAGAGTGAAGTTGGCCTCTCAAACTGAAAGTCGCATTCCTCTCGTAAGCCTATTTTTTGAGAGCGGTAAAAATATAGCAGGAGTTAGAACGAGCCGTTTTTAGATATCACATTTCAACACTGCCAGTTTGTCGTCGATCGTTAGTTCGAATGTCATATGTTTTACGGCGGAATCAGTGTTCCATCCACTCTATCCTGCTGAAATACATGTTGTAGAAGGACAACCTCTTTTTGCTTCTCCTGCACATTTTGTTGCAAGTCAAGCAGTAAAGTAAGCTTCTCCTGTAGGTCCCCTATTGTGCATAGCTGTATTTTCTATCTTTTTAAAGATATCTCGGTTTCAACACTGAAGATGCTGAATACGTAATGGAAACGGAATCATCTCTTGAATGTTGGGAACGATTGCACCAAACAATAGAAGCGAAGGGTCGAGGGCTGGAAAGAGAGCAGAGTTGGTGGATGGAAAGACGACAAAAGGTTTGCATCAACTATGCATCATTTAGTTAAGGGGACGTTTACTTAACCGGTTCTTCTAAACTAGTATTTCAGGCTATCAAGGACGCATTAACTTTACTTTTTGAACAGCATCCACCACTACTGCGTGCTCTTCTGGATACTGGCGATGCCATGCTGGTATTACACAATCAGGAACTTTCGTCTTTCAATACTTCGCTAACGTCTGAAAATTACAGGTTTATTGTGCAAGGTTTTGCTCAATGGAAACGGAATTATCTATTGGTATGCGTGAGTCAGATCTTCGTGCGTGGCTATATACCGTAGATATTTCTAGCAAACAGGTAAGTGCTAAGATTCTTATCATTGCTTTTAAATGTCTTGCTTGTAAGTGAACTGAGGACTTATCCACTTTGAAATACATCGATTCTAAGCTGTACCAACTCTGAGTGTTCAGTTCAAATGTTGATATGTTATTGCAGTTACTGGAGCTCTGTACGCGACCAATGGCATTTCGCCCATCGTATCTCGGTGGTAACCGCCTGGGTCTAATTTTGATGGAACTACGTCGCGAGTTCGTCCTTCGAGGAGCGTTTCCTCATACACTTCCTGAGCTTCCAATAAGTAAAAAATCATATTTGTCGGCTTGCTCTCACAGGATAGTGATGGGTTATACTTCGCGTATGTTTAGGCGTTGATGTTATTCTTGGAACTGATTCACCAACAGAAAGTATGATGGTCAGTGATCCATTCGATATTTTATGCCCAGATAACTACACTGCTCTTTGGATTAGTGAGTTTCATTTCCTCCTGAGCGTGTGTTGTAATTGCATAGGAAGTTTTGATCATTTGTTGTTGTAGTTAAGTTTGGTGAATCCGAAGGTATCAACGGCACTTAAAAGCGTTTTAGATCCTCTCTTTATTTTGGCAAAAGAAAAGAAGGATGCAGATCTTGTGAATATTGCGTCTTGGGTAAAAATACCACCACGGCTTATCACTGTTGATGAATCGAGGATCAATGAGATTGTTGAGAAATTACTAAAGGCGAATGGGAAGGTTTGTGAATCTTGAAGTTAGCCTTATTCGCAGTAAAACAAATTCAAGTTCTTTACCTAGGAATACGGCCATGTTCGCTAAAAGGTTTTAAGAAATTTTCAGCTTTCTTATTTCGGTAGAATTAAATAATTGGTTTGTACCGCCCACCGACCATTGTTTTCCTGTCATAGCTCAATGTTCACTGGCCAAGAGACTGGACAAGCGAAATTTTACTAATCAGGGCACAATAATGTCTCCCTATGTTTATGGCTCCTGCGTTTGCAACGAAGTTTTTGGAAATTTTAATTCCACCATCGTTTTTCTGATTGTCTCAGATTTAAGCGTATTAAGATTTCAGCGCACTTTAAGATAAAAAATTAAATAAAAAAGTAATTAGAGGGTGAAACCATTGGTTTATTGGTATTTACCGGAAAGCGAGCATCGCCACGAATGTGTTAATCAAATTGTATTAGCTATCCACTCATTGATCGTTGAGTAACTCATGCGGGTGTCAGTAGATTCTGCAATTTCTGTTAGGATCTAGAGTAGCTCATTGGGTTCGTACATATTAACGGTGAAGAGTATTACTATCGGATATGTTAACGATGAGGAGTACTACTAGAGTTACGTTTATTCCTGCATTTAAATCGATAAAGCAGCATACCAATTTAATAAAAATTTTAATGTATGACTTGAGAGCCTTCTAAGCCCCTGACCCACCAAGCCTTCGACCTCCGTGGTCGGCAAATTGGTATCAGACTTGTTTGCGAGGATAGCAACACTGGCTCAATACATCGGGTAGGCCACCACGATTCATTGTAAAGACCAGATATGCATTCATTCACCTCCGACAATGCTTAGTGAAATCGAATGTGTGGTGCATCCCTCAGGGATTGATCAAATGCGTGCGCTTTAGAGCTTTATCACCAAAATCACCTGTCGTCCTTATGATCGTCGAGTGACGCGGGCGGATGCCAGTAAATATTTCAATTTTCCCTGTTGCGTGCAGCAGTAATCCAGTGGGTTCTAGAAACTAGATCTAGAAACTCGTTGAGCATCTTACCTTTCTATTAAGCTTCTCATGAGGAACTCTGACGTCGAGTCGGTAGGGTTCCTCTTGTGCTTGTAACATCGTAAGGAATCCAGTCGCTAACGGGTCTTTTCCATCGGTTTTGATTCACACTCATTACGTGTTTGGCCCACCTTATTTTTGACAGTTTGGCGTATTGAACTCCATTTTTGGTTTTTGAACGTTGACGCAGATCGGAGCTTCGGATCCCATCCTTTACTTGTGTGGAACGGGATACTCCTAGCATCGTCCTTTCGACTGCGCGTTGGATAACGCTGAGTGACCCTTCATCCTGCTTGCGCAGCGACCAGGTTTCTGATGCAAACGTTAGGGTAGGAACTACTGTTGAGTTGAGAACGTGAGCACGGTGTTGACTGTTCTTTGTTCTCTTCGCTACATCCTCGGTGCTGTTGAAAGCCGCTCGTTTCCTCGTGGTGAACCATGGAGATGAGTTGTTCATCATGTCAATATCCCACCCTAAATAGACATACGAAGATATTCACTCCATTGAGCGTGAATGGGGCATACGTGACCAATCCGTTCCTCGTTAAAATAGTTTTTGTGAGATTTAGTCGAAGAATCAATCTCTCCATAGGTTTTCTCAAAGTTGGCAAGCATTTGTTGCGCCTGCCTAATACTTGCTGTCACAAGAACGACGTTATCAGCAAAACAAAGATGATGTAATTACCGAGCATTGATTTCCACTCCCACGTTATCCCATTCCAATGTTCGCGTGACGTCCTGGAGATAGGCGGTAAATATTTTTAGCGAGGTAGTATCGCCTTATCTGACCTCTCTTTTGACGTCGATGTTAATATAGTTGTAGAATGGTGATATCTTGTTGCCAAATTTTTTATATAACTGATGAAGGATTTTCATGTATTGAATAGGGACCGCATGGCTATCCTAGGCTTCCACTAATGCTTCTTTCTCTTCTGAGTCAAAAACTTTCTTAAATCGACGAAAGTGAGACAGGGCAATCTCTTGTACCCTCGCGATACTTCATCGAGTTTGTTATTGTATAGATGGTGCCTGTTGTACGGACTTGTTTTCGAAACCCTGCTGCTCACATGACTGTCGTTCGTCCTATGTCCTGTCAGTCCTGTTTAGGATCAATCGACTGAAACGTTTGTAGACGATAGTTGCCGATATCGTTTCGATCACTTTTTGAACAATAACACGGTTTTGGTAGTCTTCCAGTAGGGACACTGCATTCGGACAAGGTAACATGTGAAGAACCGAGCCAGTGTGTTTGTGCGGAATGGCGGAAGCCTCTTCACGTGTTCAGATCTTATGCTGTCCGAACCTGGTGTGTGATTTTCACCTACGAAATCGCATGTCGGATTTCGGAAGGGAGAGTTGGTGGTACGATATATCCATCGTCTCTTGTTTCATTTAAGGGCAGGAGGACGTGGATATGGAAGAGATCTGAGTAGTATTTGTGAATGATTTTCTCCACTGCCTTTCTGGACCCTGTAACTGTTTTGTCTTGGTGTCGGGGTGCAATCGTCTTGGTTTTGAAATTGGCGAAGCTTCGATGGGCTTTGCCAGTGCTTTTCCCAGCTTCTGAACCTTCGACCATAACTACTGCTCTTCACTCTTCAAGATCTTTTACCGCCTGTTTGCATGGTTTTTTAAGTTCGGGCGTTAATTGGCGGTTGCCAGCAGCTCGTGCGATTCCACGCTGGCACGTGTTGCACATTGGTTGGAGGCGCCCTGAAAGACATGGGATCGATCCCCGCGCCCCAGGTTCACCAAATCATCCATCCCTCCGGGTTCGGCAAATTGGTGCCAAACTTATCTGGGATGATAACAGCACTGATTCGACACATCCGTAGGCCACCTCGAGTCATTATAAAGACCACGTATGCATTCAGTAACCTCCAACGATGCTTAATGAAGTCGAATGCATGGCGCATCCTTTAGGGATTGATCAGCGCTGAGAGCTTTATCCTTTTTATTTTTATCGTGAAGATGTTGAATAAGTCGATCGCATTCCATCAACAGCCGACGAATGAACTGAATAAGCCCCAGTTTATGATAGTTTTGGGATTTCGTTTTTGAATTTAGCGGCTCTTACTCTTCACGATAAAAAATAAAAGCTCTGCGAGAAATGGAATCTTGCACGAAGGAAGCGATGGTTTGATCTGGTGTAAAATTTTTGGACAGCAGTGCCATCATTTAGACAAAGCATTCGATTTTCCATGATATGATCTGTTTCGTTAGAGTGCTCTCCATTAGGAGTCTCCTACGTCCATTATTGAGGTTGGGGCTTAGGGAATTAGGGAATTTTGACTTACCATGAATGGTCTTCGTCGTCGTGTTACACTTATCCGCTCACCCTGCTAGTTCCATTCTAATCCGTGGTTCCCAATGTGACGGTTTTCAGACGTTCTCCTGGGTGCCATCTTAGCATTATAATCTTCAATGATGATTTTGACGAATGTAAGGTTTATCCTGTAAGACTTCTCGAAGTCCATATAGAATGCTTCGATTTCTTCCTCGTCATAGTTTGATGTCGGCGCGTAAAAACGAACATTATCAAAACTGGTAAACGTCTGATTCGGGTTGTTACTTGTTTGAAACGATGTTCATAGTAAAATTTGCGTTTACGAGAACACTGGCGCCGCCGACTCTCTTGTCGCGCGTTCCGAGGAAAGCTTCTTCTCCAGTGTCGTAGACGGCATTGAATGAGTGGCGTCTTCTCGTCTCGGCCGGTCCGATGACGTCGTATCATGTCCTTACTTATATCATCAGGTCCTCAATAGATGGCTCAGATGCAAGTGTACGTGCATTGTAGGTACAGATCGTCATTTTAGTCCTTTGCGATTTAGGGAGCCTAGAATACCCCTGAGATTTTAGTACCTTCTCCGTACTCACCCTAGCCAACGCTGTCGAATCTGATGCTCTTTCAAGGTCGGGCGAATGAGGCCTGTTTATTCTACTGTGTTTAGTTTTTTTTCATACCCACGTATAGTTTGCTGAGCTCGTGAACGTGGGGCTGGGTTTATTTGCGGGTATCTCGCCAATCTCCACCAGAATAGATGCGAGCTTGTTTGTTGGGGGCGACTCCCAACCTCCTCTCATATAGTTCGCTGTTACTTGATTGCAGACTTTTGGCCGAATTGTAGAAAACAGTACACATAGGAAGACACCTTAGCACGCATACATGAATACCTTTCCGTAGATACAGAAGATATGTGCCATATCGGTGCTACAAGAGCATGGAGTGCATCCTCTGAATCCACCGTCTCAGCGGAGCAGAGTTCGCTTTTGTTCACGTTTAACCCCTATCCATCACCTGGGAACACCCCACGTTGCCTCGCGACAAACCGGCATGGCATCCCTCTATGAGTGAGATTCGTTGATGAACCTTGATACTGGTAAATAATTCACCGCTTTCTTGATAAGGAGACACGAGGTTGTTGTTACAATATGCATTCACAGCAGTTAATGTTTCGACGGTTTCGCCATCCGTAGGGACTGCAAAAGGTCAAATCTACGCAATCTATTGGGTAATACATTTTGATAATCCAAGCATAAATAGCTGAATACATAAATTTCATCCGCACAGTAAACATTTTCTTTCAAACATCGTTTCGTTCTTTACAAATCCTCCACTTCTTATTGGAGACCAGCCGCAGTCTTACATTGGTAGGGAGTGTTTGACTGAGGTCAAAAAAATGTGACATTAGCCTAGTCATCAATACTTCAAATGTCTCTTTTATATTAAGTCTCCTTGACAGCTTTCCGTCATCACTGTCAGCACTTTAGATGCTTGCTCTTTCCTCTAATCACTTTTTTTGCTATTTCCTCCATCCCAGTCCCACTTCTTTTGGTTCCTCACACCGTTTCTCAATTTCTAGCCAGAAACATTCTATATTTAGAAAGCTCCAACATAACGGGAACATGCTAAGAAAATACACATTGTAATGGACAGTTGTTTTCCTTTTGTAATCCGTACCTCTTTAGGATAACACTTATTTGCGCTCGGTTCCTTCAGAGGATATGCGAGCAGTTTTTATGAAATTGACATGTATGCTACGTTCAACACTCAGTGAAGTCGAGACTTACTACAACGATATGCAAACTTTGTCTGTGGAGGTGAGCTTTTAAAAATTTATGAACTCCGATACATTTATAAGTACTTCTTAGGTGAATCGTATGCAAGTAATCCGTCGAGGGCTCGAAGACACACATGAACGAGAAAAGCGACCAGAACGAGCAGCAGCAGGTCGCGACCGTTTCCCGGATCGTTCGCACGACAAATCACCTATACCTTCATTGCTCGGCATGTCAGTCGTACCGCCAGCGTCTTCGCAGTCAATCAACCAACGTAGAGAACGAGACTATAAGATTCCTACAAGAAGACGTAGTCCATTTGGAGACGAGCGCCGACGAAGAGATGTATGTTGCTTCGTGATAATTTATAGTGTGATTTTTTTTTCCTTGTGTTGCCCTCTTCCAGAAAAATATACAATTTTCGTGGTAAAACAGAGGCTTCCTGTAGAAGAGGTTCGTATTGCAAAACGGGCATCAATATTTCTAAACCAGAAAATTGTCGTCGTATTTAAAATTATCATTTATCATCATCTCTCTTTCAAGACGGAACGTAGAGGTCGATCGCCTTCGCACCGTAGCAATGATATTCGTAGCCCACCCCGACGAAAGCAGGTTACTCCTCCGCCGCCACCACAGCCAAAGCCACCGAAACAACCAAGACCAGCAGATCGGGAATTGTCAGATGGAGAAATACTCTCTTCGGATGAAGACTGAAGTTTTTCTTTCGGAATGTTTTTGGCGAATTGAATGAATGTGGTGTATACTATCGGCGGGTTATTTATAATATAGGTTATTTCTCAACTATGCAGTTTTTATCTGTACAAATTTGTGTACTGTATACATATATTTCGCTACAAATAGATTATTAGCATTAGCAACTAGTAGAAAATTGCTAACAATATTCACGCCAGTCAGCAACTATTTAATCCAGTTTGAGTAATCCTACCTATTTTCTTGGTTCTCGCTATGTTTCCATCGATGTTGATGATTGGTCCTATCTTTCCATGTTGTGCATTTCATCTCATTAACCAGATTTTCTATTTATATTGTTTGTCACTTTTTCGATCTCTGTATGGCATGATGAATCGTATATAAACTGCTAAAGACGGTTAATCAATAGTTTGATTTGAAGTGATAAAGAAAGTATTTCACTGGAACTATCAATCACAAGAATCGTTTCGCACGCCAATCACTGAAGTCAACATCATCGTCGTCACTGCCTTCTTCATCAGTGTTTGCTACAGAAGCCTTTTCGCGTGCCTGAACAGGTCACTTTATATGGAAAGGAACAGGGCAGATTTTGAGGAAGTGGCCGTTGTGACTACAGAATAATGACGTCCATTTTATGCGATTTCCAACTGCGAACTACTGTTTTGCTCGGCGATGTCTTTTTTCCATTAATCTATAGTATTTGAGTACTTGATAACAGACCAGATGTTCCTGAGTGTCGGACTACGATGTACAGCGGGGGATTCATCTCCTTGGCAGGGTCTCCCAAGTTGAGGAGTCCGACGTTTCCATCAGAAAGTCCAGCTAAAAGTAAACCAATACCAGGATCCACCGGGGTCCTGATATCAAACCAGTCGCATGGTGGTAAGTCTCCCTTTGACCCACAAGGACAGCAGCTGCTTGTGGCGGTGACGACCCGGGGCAGATTTTGGCCTGGCTGACCTCAGGACTCCAGAAAACCACAATAGCTAAACCAGCAATACTCCGAAAAGTGGAGATAATGGTGGAGCCAGCACAACCAATGGGGACGGCCCATACAAGTAACCAAGCATAAGTAAGTAAGATAACAGCTGACAACATAATTTGATAAGCTCTTGATCGTTCACTTTACAGAAGTGGACAAACTGTGTGAACGGTTGGTCTACCTTTGTAAAGTAAACGAATCTCTTCAGCTTCTGGTTCACAGTGGTATTGAAGTGTAGATGATGAAGACGTGAAATTCTACGTGTCAAAACAACACATTTACAGCAGCCTGTTCACAAGACTTTAAAAAAGCAATCTTTTCGGTCCATATCAGCTTCCGTGTGATAATCCTCATAGAGGTTTGGAACAATTGACAATTAACAACGACAGAGAGGCGAGTGGCGCAGTGGTAGGAGGCGTCCTGCAACACACATGGGGTCGATCCCCGCGCCCTTGGCCCGCCAAGCCTTCCATCCCTCTGGATTCGGCAAAATTGGTACTAGATTTGTCTGTTAGGATAGTATCATTGGCTCGATACATTGCTATGCCACCGCAAGTCATTGTAAAGGCCAGATATGCATTCAGTCACCTCCAACGGTGCTTAATGAAGTCGAATGCATGGCGCATCCCACAAGAGTGATCAACGCTGAGAGCTTTATCCTTCATCCTTTTAATATGGCCATAAGAGACGTTAACCTAGCATATCGTAACAAAGAGAAGCTTACCTCTTGCAATTTTGACTCTTTCAACTTTTCCATAGCGTTTAACAACATCCACTTCTCCATTTGTTCATCGGCGTTAACTATATCACGTAAACGTGCACTACGCTCATCCTCTTCATCTGCCTGAAACAACATTAATACAGCTTCATTAGAAGCAAAATAAACATATAAAGCAAACATTGATGACCTTGAACAGCAGCAAATACCTTTGCTTCCTCTTCTATATGTTTTTCATTTAGTTCTCGCATAAGACGATCGTATTCTTCATTCATGTGAGCTTCGTTCTCGATGGTTTCTCGAACCTTAAAATAATCTGTGGCACCAGTATAACTGAAACGACAAATAGACCACATACCATTCCATCTCTTCGCTTGTCATCAAAGAACCCTTGCGGCACGCCGTCTATGATCCCTTTTCGTTCACGAATTAGCGCGTTCTCTTCGTCCTTAGATTTTTGCCATGGTGTTTGGATACTAACCAAAAGCACCATTAGATATAACCACTTGAAACGAAATAAAAAAAACAAAGGTAACCTCAATCTAGGCTCTTCATCAAAAAAGTCAGATGGTAGAGGGCCGTTGGACGATGGTACGTCGGTCTCCGCCTCTGTAATACCTTTGTCATTTTTTGTTGCTGAAAACAGAAAAAAAATCGAAAATAACAGAATATAAAGGGATAAGAGGAAGGCGAAATGAAAGACTCGCTTGGTGTGGTGCTGAACGCGTTAGCTCCCGGAAAGGGTGATAGCGTGTTCAGCCCCCGCCGCAGCCACTAGCGGTCCGGAGTTTTGCAAATATCACAGCATCATTGTGGTTATAGTCGCTACCTTTCGTCTTCTTTGCTGGTGGTGCTTCGGATCCTAAAGAGGCACTGTTGTTCGTACGCTTCACGCTGGAAACTAACTGCTGCTTCAACCGTTCACAAGAGTCTTTGTGTTTTTTTCCATTTAGATGTGCGGTCCAAATTTTTGGCTTCACCTGAGAAGTTGACATCAAACAGTATTACAAGTGATGGTGAAACTTCTACAATACAAAAAGCTTGAAAAAAGATAAAGCTCTCAGCATTGACCTTTCCCTGAAGGATGCGCGATGCATTCGACTTCATTAAGTATCGTTGGAGGAGACTGAATGCATATCTGGCCTTTACAATGAATCGTGGTGGCCTACCGATGTATTGAGCCAGTGTTGCTATCCTCCCAAACAAGTCGTATCAATTTGCCGACCCCAGAGAGATAGAGGGCTTGGTGGGCCTAGGCTGCGAAGTTGAACCCACTTGTGTTAAAGGGCCTCTAACCGCTGCTCTACATGAGCCCATGCAAAATACAGGACGTAAAAAAAATGGAAAGTGCAAACCGGTACATTATTAGCAGTAAGAGGTCCCTGAACTTTGGAAATCCATAGAGGGACACTAAAATGAAACCGTAAGGCAGACTCTTTCCGTAATAAAAGAAAAGAAATCTACTTAGATACTTGGATGGCCTCTCTTCATTGGTAGTGAGGGCCCTAGCAGAACTTATACTTTTTTGGAATTTTGCTGGTTTAGCTATTGTGGATCGCTGGAGTCCCGAGGTCAGCCTCCAAAGTTTACCCCAGGTCGTCATCAACATACGCGGTCGCCACCTTTGTGGATCAGAGGTTGATTTGCCACCATGCGACTAGTTTGATACCAGAGCGGTGGTGGATTCTGGTATGGTTTACTCGCAGCTGGGCTTCCTAAAATGCCAGACTCCTTCTCCGTTTGGGTGAGCCTGCCCGGAGGGGGTTCCCGCCGTACATCGCAGCCCGAGACTCAGGAACACTTCCTAGCCACTATGAGGCGGTAAACCGTTGACAGGAAAAAAAGATGCAGCTGACTGTAACAACCATAAAAAAGCTCGAAAAGAAACTACAGGCAAAAATTCAACAACTGAAAGGCTTAGTCATACCTGCGTGTTACATACTATGCAATGAATTTGTCCATTACTGGTAGGCTTAGCGATAGCGGGATTCAGTTTTATACCTGCTACTGACATCGCAGTCCACTGCAATGGAAAGAAGCCCATGACCTTGCTCGTACGGCATATGGAATTGTTCGCAGTCACACCCAATACTCTTCAACCGACGGGGTTTTCTCGTTCATTGAATGATGACGTTCCATTTCAATCCTTCTTTTACTGTCATGCCGATCAGTTGGTCTTGGTCCGAGTAGCACACCTAACGATCATGCTTTCTTAAAAAAAAAACTGTTTCTTTTCTGAAGTGCTCCGGCTGTTGCTTTCCAGATGAAGTGGTTTGCCGGCTCGGTTAGCACAGCAGTCCAGGTTTCGCGTAAGAACAATGCACTTTTCATTGTTTTCATCGAAAGCGAGAATGCAAAAGGCGAGAAGATGCGTGAACTTTGGGATAAAGTAAGTTAGTATGACGTTCTTCACTTATTTCATTCGAGTCTACAAGTAAGAATATCCTACGGACGAGTTCACCAAAAACCATGAAGAACTGTAAAAGTGCAGGTACTTATCTTTCATACAGTAGTTCCCAGAGCCTGGAAGAGTACTGAAGAAGGCGATACTGTGGAAGGATCGGCGTTAACAGAATAAATCTTGACGTAACACCTCGTGTTTTTTTCAAAAAGAATATCCGCAACTAATCTTTCTGCTCTACTTCCTCTTTTCTTTCTATTTCTTTTCTTTTCTTTTCTCATCTTAGGTCCTAGATTAATATTAGTTACGTTATATGTTGAATATTTACAGTTATTTACATATTTATTTACGTAGCCATTCATACTATAGAGATTGTCAACCAAGTACGTTAACGAAGTTGTAGACGTAATGTTGTAGATGCGATCTATATACTCATTCATTTCCGTGAATAAGTCTTTTTAGTTTGAGTTGGGACTGAAGGATAGCTAGTCTAGTTTGAGTTGGGACTGAAGGATAGCTAGAATATGACAAGCCAAAAAGTCGTAAAATGCATTGACACCAATTTTTTTCGAATAAGTTAGGTAGTTGTTTTGTAAACGTAACAACTACTATGACATAAGCAGTAACTTAGAAACGTCACATGTCATTCGCACTTGTATGTTTGTACGGGGTATTTTCCTCTCATCAAATGATTAGTGCTGTCTTATTTTTACTAGTATTACTTATTTTTCCGTATTGAGTTCTAAGCCGAAATTCATCGTTGTTACAGTTTTGAGTTTAGGTTGAAACTTCGCTCTTCGATTGTCCAGTTGTCGGTGTTCACCTAATGGAAGGAGATGAAGCAACGAAGCAGTTTTCGCAAATTTGTAGGTTTCTTTTCTATAATGCTAAAGTGTGCTCCCAACCGGTTTACCGTCACATCATGGCTAGAAGATGCTGTTGGGTGTTGGGCTGCGATGTACAGCGGGGGATTCATCCCCTGGCAGGGTTTCCCATGCTGAGAAGGACTCCGGCGTTTCCACCAGGAAGGCTACCTAACAGTAAACCAATACCGGGTTCCACCACCGTCTTGGCATCAAAGTCGCATGGTGACAAATCTCTGATCCACAAGGGCTGCGATTGCCTGTGGTGGTGACGAACTGGGGCAGGCCTTGGCTAGGCTGATCTCGGGGCTTCAGGGAATTAGGATGGTTAAATAAGCAAAACTCTGAAAAATGGAAATTTTGCTGGGGCCGCACAGCTGGTGAGAACGGACCGTCCAAGTGTGCAAATAAGTAAGTGAGTAACTAGTGTTAAAGTATTATATTTAAGTGAGTACATAAATGCTAGTCATCACGACTGTGCGAGTGTTAGCACATTTTTCTCTGCACATTTTACACTTCGATCGTCGTTTATGGTGGTTAAGTGCTTCGAGTATGGTGACATTATCCTGTGATCCATAAATAATTTACGTTTGTAGACACGTTTGATTTATGTCGTTTTCTTGTTCAGCAGACGCGAGGTTTTTAAACAGCATACATTTACTTCCATAGAAAAACACAATACAACATAACAGTAGTTGACGTTTCGGCAGTATCGCCTTCTTCAGAGCCGCTTTTTCGTGACTTCCAATGGGGAAGTTTAGAACAGCTGATTATAGTCGCATATGGTTGATGACTGCCAGGATAAGGATGAAGCGACTGAAAGATATGGATAAAGCTTTTTGTTGGATTCCGCGCTACGGACTAACTAAGCTTTCCAGCTCTGTGGGTTGGCTAACTTGGCACTAAATCTTTAAGGAGTGTGAAAACAAGCTTGACAAATTGCTAGGCCATCGCAAGTCATTATACAAGATAGATATGCATTCGTTCACCTCGATTGGTGCTTGATGAAGACGAATGCTTGGCTCGTGATTGATCAGCATTGGACGCTTTGCGCTTCAAGTTTCATAGCTTTTCTTATACCATAACACTGCTCATCTCCCGAAAATTTTTTGACGAATTTGACATTTTTTTACGCTTTTCAGAAGCTTCGGTAATATTGTTTGCTGCTTCGTTTAGATCCAACTCCAGTGTTACCTGCATCGTACATTATCGACAATTTGGGTAAACCGATCGAAGTGATAACCCTTCTTAAGGACCTTAGTTTTGATGAGTTCTTCACAAAGGTCGTAAACTCTGTAAAGGTAAGTTAAGTTACTAGGTTTCATTTCTCTGTTTTTTAATCAATTGCGTATCGTTTTTGACTTTTCAAGCTGTTCAACAGCAGTCTTATCAAATAGGTCGAATAATTTCAATAGAAACGATTTGTAGATCTTCTCTGCATCTACAAAGTCAAGTCAGAAGAATGAAGGTTCTTCTCAAGCGGTTGCTAGTTCTTCACTTGATAAGGTTTCTTTGTCTTTTGCTTTCTGTTCCTTGTACATTTTTCAATCTCTGTTCCAAATTTCAGTAACTGGATGTTAACTTGGGATAAAAGTGAATAATTCGATACACTATCCTTCCAGCAGAATTTAAAATGAAGTAGACCTAATATTTTAAGGCCCCACTAGCGTCTAACTCTACATCACCATCTTCATCTGCTGGGATGTCCTTAGAAGAAAAAACTAAAAGGTGAGGTTTGACTTTTTTAATTAGATGTCGGGTTCATATTTTATATCTGTCCTATCTGTTATCTGATATTATCTGTTGTCTTGCAACATATGCGGCACTTTGAGGGCGTTTCATCTCCCGAAGCCGTTATTTAGGGCAAAGCTTTTGTTGGAGCAAAAGTCTGCTATCGAAAAAGCAAGGAAGCAAGAGGAGGAGAAGAAGCGAGAGCTGGAGCGGATCAATACAGGAAAACTTTTGCAGGAGGCACAGAAAAAGCGCCGCGAACAGGTGTTATGTTGTTTTCCATGGCAATTATATAGGAACTATCTTATCACTGTTTTAGGAACTTATTGAGGCTGCGGCTCAGCGTCGACGTGATAAGATTGAGGCAGAACGGGAGCGCGAAAGACTCAAAGCCCAAATTAAAGCTGACAGGTGCAATTCCTTTTTTTCCTTTTTTCCATACGTATATCCCATTGGAGTGAAATTGGCTGGAGAAGTTTTATTCGACGTGATTTGCATGCTTTTATTTGCTAAGAGGTGTTAAGCTCTAAGAACTAATTTCCAGGGAAGAACGTGAATTTCGAGAACGCCGTGGTATTCCCGTAGCTGACAAAACTCCGTTGGCAGAAACTACTATGCCGAAGTTAGAACCAGTTGCAAGTGACAGGTATAAATAAACAAGTTCGTTAGAGTGGAGTTCGAAATAGTCGTGAGCACCTGAGATGTATAGGTATTAAGATACATAGCAATTTTGTAAATTTTTGAGATCTAGAAAAAATTATATTCAATCCAACATGGTTGGTTATTCAGGGGACTGAGGAGTACTCGACCACACCAGTTGTGATAGCAAATTGGCTGGGCTTCACCGTTTTCCGAATTCGTAGAAAGGGCGTTCCACATTTCGAAAGGTGTAGTGCTAAACATGAAGGAGAGGCCTTTGTAAGAATGGAACACGTTGCGTTACTCTGTGAAGGAAGTAGCGTTATAAATACAGTAATTGTACGAGTCGCAATAACAAAGAAAATAAAGTCCTACAATAAAAGTCGGATGCGTAGTGATAAATGACCTTCTTTTTTCCATTGATCTCATTTTCTGGATCTTTCGGCATATTTTAACGGTAGTCTCTTACTTCTCCAACGGTTTGCCGCCTCATCGTTGCTGGGAGGTGTTCCTGGATATCGAGCTGCGATGACAGCGGAGGATGAATCCTCTGGCAGGGTCTCTCCAGCTGAAAAGGAGTACGGCGTTTCCATCAGGAAACCTAGCTAAGAGTAAACCAATACCTGGATTTACCACCGTCCTGGTATCAAAGTCGCATGGTGGTGAATCTCCCTCTGATCCACAAGGGCTGCGACTCCCTGTGGTGGTGAAGATCTGGGGCAGCCTTTGGCCAGGCTGACTTCGGGACTCCAGAGAACCATTATGACTTAGCAAATCTCCAAAAAATGGAGATTATGCTGGGGCCTGCAAAACCAATGAGGACGGACCATTTAAGTGTCAAGTAAGTAAGTCTCTTGTTTCAGGTTGACTCGTGTTTGTACTAATGTGGATTACTACTATCATCGCTTGGTTTTCAATTTAGATGTCGTGTCCAAGTCCGTTTACCTAATGGCGAAAACATTGTGGAAGAGTTCCTATCGAGCGATTTCCTTTGTACTTTGAAGGAGTCAATAGAACAGGTGAAATTATAGTTTAAGCCGAAGTTATACGACCTAATCATTGGTTGATAAATTAATTGGAATTACGTTCAGGATGGTCGTGTGAGCGGGTCGTTTTCCTTAGCTCAAATGTTCCCACGCAAGGTATTCACTGACGATGAGCTTCAAAAGTCGTTTGTCGATCTTTGTTTAATGCCAACGTGCACTCTGCTCGTTATTCAGGTACTTTGCTCGCTATGGAATCCTTTCAGGATCGGAGTCATTTCATTTTGGAAAGTTGCAAAATTTGCTTATTGCGTTGTTTATTGCAGTCCCCGAACAAGACTTCGCACAGACTTATCTCGGCTACTCCACTTGTTGGCATTTTCTCTCTGTTCTCCTTAGTAGTTATTGCACCACTACAAAGTATCTACAGTATTGTTGCAGGCTGGCTAGGATGGCGTCGTGGTGAAATTTTGCTACTTGTTTCTAAATTATTAGGAGGAATTTCGTGTTGAATCTTAGGATTTTAATCTACTATTCATTTAAGTGTCGACTTGAGAATAACAGAAGTTGTCTTGCTCACATTCTTTCAAATACTGTAGTGATCAAGGATGTTCTAGGCAATGGTTCAACTTCGAGAACTCACCCGAGGCAAACCCAGAATGATGCGGTTAAGATCCAACGCGAGCCACGTGCAGAGGGAGCAACCATACAGAGGGTTCGTTCGTAATCTTTTCTCAGCAGATTTAAATGTTTTCTGGATGTATTCTTCAAAGACTGTTCGCTTTCTATTCTTAAAGTTTTGATCTGGGGATTTTTAGCGAGGTAACATGAGCCGGCTTCACAACACAAATGATGATACAGATGACGAGAATGCGAATTGGAATGGTAACTCTACACAGTTCCTTTAGAAAATAGTTTCATTTCATGAGCCGTCGAAGCATGAAGAGAGCGGTTTAACTAATTACCGTTCAGTTTTTCGTATTGATTGTGTTTTTCATAATATAGTAAAATATGTTATGCAAGAAAGTTCTAATTTTGCTGTACAGTTACTCACTTCGAAAAAGTATTCTCAGTTATACCCTAAAAGTTAGTAGAGTTTCAAACTTTACTTTATAAAAATTTCCTATACTTGCGTATCACTTGATGTTTCGTGATTTTTAAAATGTGGTTTTGCAAACATATGGGTTTAACTATCGTTTAGTACAAGGACTTTTTTTTATTTTTTAGATTTGTGGATAGAAATCCGAGGAGAGTAGTTAGAATGTCCACCCCTAAAAGCAGTTGTACTATTGTTACCGTAACATTCGCGTAACTACTGAACTGGGTTGTATTCTGTCTTTATAAAACGTTGACATATTTGTGGAACTGTGCTGGACAGCCGACATTGTGCATTGTGAGATGGTGTGTCACTTTGGATTATGAATTTCAAATACCTAAACATGGTTAAAGATTTTTTTTGGAATTGAGAAGTGGAATTTTACCAATTCCATGTTCGGTGAAACTGCTAGTTTGAACAAAAAGTATTGCTATTTGCAAAGTTCTTCAACGACTTTCCTTGTCAAAGCATAGCTGCACTGATTGCGTAAAATTCTCGGATTGTGCCTTTAAAGGCTTTTGATAGAGGTAGTTGCACAATGTGAACTTAAATTTGCAAACAAGAGGCTAAAAGCACCAGATTTCTTCCAAACAGTGGGATTTCTATATTGCCGGTTGTTTCAGTGAAAATGAAAATTTAGAGGTATGATTTATTATATACTGTACTGTTCCACGGAACTCTGTTTCTACATCATCCTAGAGCGGTCGGTTGCTTTTACATTCCTACTTTCGTTTCTGATTTCGTTTTAACACCCTTCAGAACCAAATAGTACGAAGACCAAGCGAAGGATTCGTCGCCGAAAACACATCTTCCTCTGGTCCACATCGTAGTGAAAACTTGGATACGTCCTTGCAAGGTGACGTAAGGACTCCAGGGAGGACCAAAATAGACGACCTAGGTTTAATTACCCAAGTTTGAGGCTTCGAGAAAGGCGAAGTCGCCGGAACGTCCGCCATCGACCAACAACATCAAAAACAACGCCAACGAAGACCTCTACCAACCTCGCGTCACCTTAGGAAGATCAGTTTATAAGATCATATAAATAAATACATCTTTTGTTATAGAAAGTCGGTCTTTTGAGTTGTAAACAGAAGATGGTGCCTACTTGACACATCAGTAGTCCCGTAATTCTGTACTGGTTCTGATCAACGCCTTCGCGCGAATTTTCGATTCAGCCGCAAGCTGGAAGAGAACTCTCTTCATCGACTAGAAGGAAAAGGTCTAGCTGTATACGACGAAAAATTACTGAACGAAGTCCTATCCAAACGTTACTGCAGATTGAAGAAGACTCGACTGAAGACTACGAGCTGCTTGTCGAAGGACTGAAAACCTGTGCCGAATTCGCCTCAGTTGCTCAAGCAAGAAGAACGAATCGCATCTCCATCACTACTAAGGGGTTGCTCGAAAATGGAAGGAAACTGGAGATACTACTGGAACACGTTTAACATGGCTTATCATAAATGCCAGCTGCAGATAAGCTCTGCAGGAAGATGTGCAAGGAAACAAGCTGAAGAAACTACTGGAAGCAGCAGAGAAAAGTAGTCTGAAAAAGTGCCGTCGAGACTTGTGTAATTATAATGTTCCGCTGCAAGACCTGATGAACGAAGATGGGATCCCAGGTGTATGCTGTGGGGAACGAACGCGCTATTGTCCTTACCGGAGAGTAGCGCACCTCACCACGAAACCTTCCGGGTACTTCGTTTTGGCTGTCTCTCAGCTAGTTCTATTGATCTTTGCCATCATCAATCACCCGTCAACAGGATTGATCTGGGGAGCCCAAATCGGCATTGAACCCAGTTAAGCTGAGGCTTAGTTATAATCATAATCTTAACACTTTTATTCTTTGCCTTTTTCTTTTTAATGGAAGGGTATGTTGCGAAATATAACTCATATATAATGCTGAGATATTTGCAAAACTCCGGACCGCAGGTGTAAGATCAATAGAACTAGCTGGGAGACAGGCAAAACGAAGGACTCGGATGGTGTGGTAGTGAAGTGCGCTACTCCGCGGTAAGGACAATAGCGCGTTCGTTCCCCACCGCATACACCTGCGGTCCGGAGTTTTGGAAATATCTCAGCGTTATATACGAGTTATATTTCACAACATACCCTGCCATTAAAAAGAAAAAGGCAGAAAATAAAAGGGTGGAGATGGCATCGTGAAAACTTCTCGCCATGATATGGAATTAATAGCGGAGACATTCTAAACCAACCTTTTCCGTTTCCACAATCGCCGTGCCGGGCCCTAATACCCCGCTGGAGAAACATCACCTGAAATTCTTCCGTCGGAGGTTCGAGTTGCGATAGAAAGCATGAAAAGAGTCCCAGCTCCAGAACCCAGTAATATTACCGCCGGCTTCCTTAGAGCTGGAAGCCACAATTTACATGTACTTTTCGCAGATCATATGACAGACTACCTTCAAAAGGAAAAAATCCCAGACCAGTGCAGGACGTCGTGCACGGTTATCCTGCCCAAGAAAGTTGACCGAAGCGATCTTCGTAACTATCGTCCCATATGCTTGCTAAATGTACACTACAAGCTCTTCACGAAGATTATCCTCTCGCGCATATCAACGACATTGGATGAAGCGCAACTAGTCGAGCAAGCAGGATTTGGAAAAGGATTTTACTGCATGGAGCAAATCCAAACCGTATCCAGGATCATCGAAGTTTGTCAGGAGTAGAATAGCACTTGCCTCTAGTCCTAACCTTTGTCGACTGTAAAAAAGCGCTTGACAGTGTCGAAACGAATGGAACCCTATCAGCTCTCGTCGACCAAGGAGTAGACCCGACCATCGTAAGCAGTCTGTCCGACTGCTATCGGAACTGCCCTACGAGAATACAGCTTTTCCAACGAACTCTTACAGTACCCATAAGAAAAGGGGTTCGACAGGGGTACACTATATCGCCAAAACTGTTTAGTGCCGCACTGCAGTGGATAATGAAGTCGATTGGGAATTACGTATTGATGGAAGGTTCCTGTCAAACCTTCGCTTTGCCGACGGCATTGTCATCTTCTCGAGAAGTACTAGCGAAGCAGAGATGATGATCAACGAGCTCAACGAAGCGGAGAAAAAAATCGAACTTTGCATGAATGGAAAGAAGACCCAGTTCATGAAAAACCTATGGCGTGAAGGCGAAAAAATTGAATTGGATGACTCTTTTATTGCAGAGACGACCTCGTATGTATATTTTGGGCGATTAATAAACATGGAAAACAGCGTTAAGGAGGAACTAGATAGAAGAAGGAGAGCAGTTTGGGCCGCATTAGGGCCTCTCAAAGAAGCCACCGGCCAACTAAAGGAACCGAAAACCCGCGCTCATCTCTTTGATTCTACGGTACTCCCAGCGCTCCGTTATGCTGCAGAGACGTGGGTTGATACTTCAACTACGTCAAGAACGCATCGAACTACTCACGAAGTGCTTGAGCGATGTCTTCTGAAATATAACCGGCACCCTCAATATCTAGCCGGAATGCGAAGCTCTGACCTTCGAAATCTGTCACATCTTCGAGATCCAGGAGAATATACATCGACAGCCAAACGTAGATGGGCCGGTCACATAATGAGAAGAGCAGACGACAAGTGGACGAAAAGAACAGTAGACTCCAAGAGAATGCAAACGTCTCTCAGGACGACCACCTACACGTTGGGTGGGCGTGTTCGTAAACAAAGTTAATCATCTGTGCCCGCAGCTGCAGTTGTTTTACAGATCACGGTGTGAGACTTGCAAGCGCTACCATGCTATAGCAAGACCACCACCATGGACTACGATTGCCAGAGGCAGGAACGAATGGCATACGTGCTGCGGTTTTCACAGCTTGTGAAGACGGACCGTCCAAGTATCCAAGTATTGTGTCCACTCGAGGATCATGATAAAGATCCTGTACAAATCAGATATGGATTCAGTCGCACTTTTACAGTGCTAGACGAGGTTATTCTGGGAATTAATACCACACTGGTCTGGGAGGATAGCAGTACCAACTCGATGCATCGGTAGGCCACCATGGGTCACTAAGGCCAGCGCATGCTTCACGTATTGATCAACTCCGAGAACCTTATCCTTTTTTCCTATGTTCTCTCCACTGTCGATCATCTTTACCACCTCCACGACTTTCAACAATGAAGAGGCTCAAACCGGTATCATCAATGCTTCTACTCTTCCCACTTGCACATCGACGCTTGGAAACCCACGCAGATATGGCTAAGTGTTGCCATCACACAGCTTGTTTTTTCGCCCTCTAGTTTTGGTATCTGGTAACCATGTTAGGGCGCTTTCAGGCCTTCAGTAGGAGTCAGTCAAAAGAATTTTAGACCGCAAGGATGTTTGCGGCCTTGTGAACGATTTTTGATTTTTGATCGTTGACGCAGATCGGAGCTTCGGATCTCATCCCTTACTTGTGTGAAAACGATGCTCCAAGCATCGTCCTTTGGGCTGTACGTTCAATAACGGCGAGTGACTTTCATCCTGATCACGCAGCTTCCGGGTATCTGACGCATACGTTAAGGCAGGAAATACCGTTGAATCGAAAAGGTAGGCACGGAGTCGGGTGTTCTTTGTTCTCCTCACTACATACCCGATGCCCTTGAAGGCTCCTCAAGCTGCTCGTTTAATTCTCTCCACCTACGGAACTAAATCGTCAATCATATTGATTTCCTGTCCCAGATATGCGTGACTGGAGCATTCGGATAAATTGTACCGTTGAGCATAAATGATGCATACAAAACCAATCCGTTCCTCATGAACGTCATTTCTGTGAGATTTGGTCGAAGACCAATCTTACCACAGGATTTATCAAAGTCGGCAAGCATACGTTCCGCTTGGTTAACGTTTGGTGTTATAAGGACGATGTCATCAGCAAAGCGAAGATGGTGTAATTGCCGACCATCGATTTTCACTTCCATATTATCCCATTTCAATGATCGCATGACGTTCTGGAAGGTGGCGGTAAATAATTTTCGCGAGATGGTATCGCCTCGCCTAACTGCTCTTTTGACGTGAGTGTTAATATTGTTGTAGAATGGTGATATCTTGGCTGTGAAATTTTTGTATAGCTCACGAAAAATCTTCATGTACTGAGCTGGGACTCTTTGACTACTTAGGGCTTCCAAGACTGCTTCTATCTCAAATGAATCCAAGGACTTCTGTAAATCGGCCTCTGGAGCGTCATCCATTACTGTTGCTCTTCTTTCTCTAAGATCTTCTTTTATCGCCTGTCTGCATTGTTTTGCAGGTTTGGACGTTAGTTCGCGCTTGCCCGCAGCTCGTGCGATTCCTCGCTGGCGTGTCAGCTCAAGTGTTTCTGGACAGAGAGGTCTCCTGGTAACTTCCGAACTCTCAGCTTTCATAGCGCTAACGTGAGGATGTTGCATGAGGCCATCGCATTCTTCGTCGATGTTATCGACAACGGCATCTTCCCAACAGCCGACTATTGAATTGAATAGTTCCCAGTTTATGGTGGTTCTGTGACTTCGGTTTTTCAATTCAGCGGCTTCTTCTCCTTTCCGGAAGAAATAGAATCTTGCACGAAGGAGTCGATGGTCCCGTCTCATGTAGAATTTTGGGACAATAACGAAATCAGTTAGGCAAAACCTATTCACTATGATACGGCCTACTTCGTTATGGTAATCTCCATTAGGAGACTCCCACTTCCAGCGCTGAGGTTGGGGCTTCTGGAATTGCGAGTTACCATGAATTATTTTGGTCACCACGATAAACTCAAACATTCGTTCACCCTGTTCGTTCCATTCTAATTCGTGGCTACCAATGTTACTTTCATCTTCGCCCAGTCTTGGCGTTAAAATCTCAAATGATGACCTTGAAGAATGTGTGGTCTTCTTGTAGAACTTCTCCAAGTCCATATAGAACGCTTCGACTTTTTTTTTCGTCATAGTTTGATGTCGGCGCGTAAACGACGAAGATTGTCGAAACCTGAATTGATCCACATCTTTTTAATCGTAAACGTCCGATTCGGATTGTATGTTGTTCAAATGAATCGATGTTCAATGACAAACTCGTGCTGACGATAACGCCGACGCCGCCGACTCCTCTATTGTCGCGTGTTCCGAGGAGCAGTTCTTCTCCGGTGTCATAGACGGTGCTGAAAGGGTGGCGTCGTCTTGTCTCGGCCAAGCCGATGACGTCGTACTTTGTCTTTCTCGCTTCCATGATCAAATCTCCTATCGAGGACTCGGATGCAAGTGTACGTGCACTGCAGGTACACATCATCACCATAGTTCTTTGTAATCTAGGCAGTTTCCATTGGCCCTGAGATTTTAGCAGTCTCTCCATACTTATCTTACCTAACGCTGCGAAATTAGGGACTCTTTCAGGGTTAGGGGGATGAGGCCAGCTTTTTTACCGTTAGCACTTTGGATACTCACGTATAGCTTGCTGGGCTCTGAACGTGGGGGCTGGGTATACTCACGAGTATCTTGCCAAGCTCTCCCAGAGTGGACATGGAGCTGATTTGTTGGAGGCGAGTCCTAACCGCCTCCCATACATTTTCTGGTCACTTGATTGCAGGCTTTTGGCCGAAATGACTCGTAGAATACAATCCGAATAAGCAAGAACACACACACACACACACACACACACACACACACACACACACACACACACACACACACACATGGGTGCATGAATACGCCTCATAAATACAGAAAGTATGTGCCAAATCGGCGCAGCAGAAACAGATCCATCTGCGTCCTATGGAAACAAACTGTCGTTTTTGGATAAGATTAATCCCTTATTCGCCACATGGGGACGCGTCACCTAGCCTCGCGACTAACCGACTCGAGATCTCCCCTATAAGAGCCCTCCGTGGAACTTACTTACTTGGATACTTGGACGGTCCGTCTTCACGAGCTGTGAAGACCGCAGCACGTATGCCATTCGTTCCTGCCTCTGGCAGTCGTAGTCCATGGTGGTGGTCTTGCTATAGCATGGTAGCGCTTGCAAGTTTCACACCGTGATCTGTAAAACAACTGCAGCTGCGGGCACAGATGATTAACTTTGTTTACGAACACGCCCACCCAACGTGTAGGTGGTCGTCCTGAGAGACGTTTGCATTCTCTTGGAGTCTACTGTTCTTTTCGTCCACAGATTTCGAAGGTCAGAGCTTCGCATTCCGGCTAGATATTGAGGGTGCCGGTTATACTTCAGAAGACATCGCTCAAGCACTTTGTGAGTAGTTCGAAGCGTTCTTGACGTAGTTGAAGTATCAACCCACGTTTCTGCAGCATAACAGAGCGCTTCGGATGGACCACGGTTCGGATGTGGCCCATGCAGAAAAATCCTTTTCGAAATTTTGCCTGCTGCAGAAGAGCTTTGCAGGAAGGTTGCAGCTCATCCAATGTCCTTGATATGCGCGAGAGGATAATCTTCGTGATGAGCTTGTAGAGAAGACTTAACAAGCATATAGGACGACAGTTACGAAGATCCCTTCGGTCTCCTTTCTTGGGTAGGATAACGGTGCGCGACGTCCTCTTTGGTCTGGGATTTTTTGCTTTTCAGGGTAGCCTGTCATATGATCTGCGAAAAGTACATGTAAATTGTGGCCTCCAGATCTAAGGAAATCGGCAGTGATATTATCGGGTCCAGGAGATGTGACTCTTCTCATGCTTTCTGTTACAACTCAAACCTCCGACGGAAGAATTTCAGGTGATGTTTCTCCAGCGGGGATATTAGGGCCCGGCACGGCGATTGTGGAACGGAAAAGGTTGGTGTAGAACGTCTCCGCTATCAATTCCATATCATGGCGAGAAGTTTTGATGATTCCATCTTCGTTCATCAGGGCTAGCAGCGGAGCATTATAATCACGCAAGTCCCGACCGCATTTTTTCAGGCTGCTTCTTTTCTCTGCTGCTTCCAGCAGTTTCTTTTGCTTGTACCGTTGTAGAACTTCCTGCAAAGCTCTTCAGCAGCTGGCATTTATTACAAGCCATGTTAAACGTGTTCCAGTAGTATCAAGCTTCAGTTTCCTTCTGTTTTCGAGCAGCTTCTTAGTAGTGATGGAGATGCGATTTGTACAAGATTATTATCGTGATCCCCAAGCGGACAGAATACTGCTGTATATTGCGAATGTTACGTAAATCGTTAATATTCACTATTCTTTGCTATGTGTTTCTCATAATATACTGGGAAACTTCAAGAAATGGTCCCAAACTTCAAATTTAGGGAAAGCTTCTGACCGTACTGTGGCACCGTTGTCCTAAAGAAGGAAGCATTCGGTGTTGACCAATCCCTTAGGGATCTGCCACGTATTCCAGTCCATTCTAACATTGCAGAAGTCATTGAATACATATCTGGCTTGCACAGTGACTTGTGGTCGCCTAGCCTACCGACGCATTATCTGTGTTTTTACCTTTCTGGACAAGTCACACCACTTTTTTGAGCCTGGAGGGATGGAAAGCTTTGTGAGCACGGAGCGCATGGTCGAACCAACGACGATGTGTATATTGTGTGTCACCTCTAACCAATGATCTCACGCTCCTCTGCTGTTCTGTTATTGATTAAAAATTGATCTAGTCAAAGGAGGTATTTTCAGAATGGAAACAGATTGGGAACTTTTTGGGTAGTTAGCATCGTTGGTATTGATGAACTACGGCGTCAGAGAACGACTTATTTCACACCATGTTGAAATGACAAATGACGTGTGAGAACCTTTATTAAAGGAAATCGTGATTAGAAGGGCGGGAGGTATGAATAAATAAGGAGCTAAATAATGGAACAAGTGTAACTTTAAAAGGGCAGGTAGTTAAGGTTTCTCCACAAAACGTAACAGACCTTAATAGAATAGTCATGATATTGTTAATGAACACAGAGAATTCAAGCACATCTACAATTCGATTACGATGAGCCATAAAAAGCACCTTCGTGGATTATAGCGAACCCATATGGTAATTATGTCTGGATATTACCTGTATCCGTTGTAGTCCTGCTTGTCATTGAATAACTTGAAAACACCATGAGCAGTTGAGTTTATACTCGTCGCTGTCCTGTATAAGACCTGCCAATGTGGCTCCGTCACTCGAGGAACATTACGAGAATCACAGTTTCAGAATAACAGTCACCCTTTTTATCTTTCCATCTGCACAGTATACCTTTGAGTAATTTGCCAGAGCTAGCCATGGCATAGGCTACTCTGAGCAAGACATCCAAATGGAAATATTGGAGAGCTCAACTTCCGTGACCGTACTCGGTGAGCAATCATTTGCTGCATGTAACTGCTCGACAACGAGGTGCATTCTCCAGTTACGACGATGGGTGAGAGCAATACTGTACGAAAGTCGTTCATACTTTTCTTCACAGGTGTTTTCTGTGCAGATTTCAAATTCTAGGCTGCCCGAATGTGAAGTAATCTTATCCCGTTTCGTTGAACATCGACTTCGGTTGAATCGTCCGCGATCCAAACACACGAGCTGTGTTTTCGCGGCGTTTGAAGATAACCGCTTGTCGAAGTGGACGATTCAATAGCATGACCATCCACGGATTGATGAACGTCAATACTCCGATCCATAGTGGAGTGAACTGACGCATACTGTACACGTAGTTTGTCATCTAAAACATTGCAGATCTTTCTCAGTGCAGAAACACTTTTCGTATTTCTGGAAAAGTGTCAGTAAAAAATCATTGCAAGGCGATTTTATCCCAAAAATTTTATTCATCCTAATAAAAGGATAAAGGATAAAGCTCTCGACGTTGATCAATCCCTGAGGGATGCGCCATGCATTCGGCTAGATAAAGCGCACCGTTTGGAGGTTATTGAGTGCGTATCTGCCCTTCACAACGACTCGCAGTGGCTTAGCTATGTATAGAGCCACTGGTGCAACCTTCCCAGACAAGTTTGGCACCAAATTTGCCGACTCCGGAGGGATGTAAGGTTTAGTCGACCATGGGCACGTGGATCGATTCCACGTGTGTGTCGCGGGGCGCCTCCACACGCGCCCTATGGACTGGTACGAGTTTCTACCAACTACCAAGTTTACCAATGTAGTAATTATACCAACGGTATAGTTATTCAGCATACAGTAGCCTTAATAAAGTATAATTTCAAACAGTACTGGCAAAAAATACTCACATTATTTTTGTTAAAAATATACTGTGCACAGAAATGAATGCATGTGATGAGTAAAGCGATAAGTAGACCAACGACTTGAATGCTCAATCGAATATCTTTACGACGTCTTAAATGGAAACATCATAAGCAGTTTGCATAGGAAAGTACTACTACAAGTAAAATCCTCCACTGCGAAGTCAGCTGTGTTATGTAAATACAAACTAATAGTTACTACTGTATCTCTACATGTTCCTTACGAACTGTTCTTGTGAGCTGATGCGAGGTTGGTATGTTGTCGTTGTTCCAACCACAACACCTCGACTCTGAAGAAGGTGAGATCGCCGAAATGTCAGCCGTAAAACAACAACAACAACAACAACAACAACAACAACAACAACAACAACAACAACAACAACAACAACAACAACAACAACAACAACGGCAACAACGACAGCTTATACCAACCTGGCATAAGCTCAACAAGGGTAGTTCGTAAGAACATACATGGACATATTGATTATTATGCCGAGCTTTATAAAAGATCTGTCCTTTGTGTTACTACTATAGTTAGATGAGAAGTGTTTCAGATATTCAGTGATCGTAATTGAAGGAATTTTTGGAACTATACAGGCCGGTAAGGTTTTTTTTCTGATTAAGCATTCTGAACACGAATACAGTTCTAACACTTAACCGAATAATGTAATAGATATGTTGAATTCGTCATGAAGGAAAAACATGTATTTTTTGGGATAATTTCGAGTCGATGAATATCGGTATTATTGGTGCTCCAAAAAACCTGGTGACCCTCGGCGATGAAAACCTGGAAATGTCCTAGCAAGGTAGTCTAGGATTCTATAGAGAATATATATACGACCAATATTTAACGATATATATGAATAAGACAAGAATTGTCAAGCGATAGCTGGACCTACACGGAAAATCAAAAAACCTTCGTTGATGATGGATCCGACGAAATGAAAGAATTGCTAAAATTGCTGGAATCTGCACAATATGTGGTATGGGTTCCTATAAAAGAATCCTTCCAATGCTACTTAGTCATGGGCTCCTGAGATGTATAGCAAGGATTCACCTCAAGCAAAATCGCTTAAGCCGAGAAAGAATTCGACATTTTCATGCGAAACCCAACTATGAGTAGAAGACCAATGTCAATGATCCTGGAATAGACTTAATTTGACAGCGCTAAGCGTTCTTCAGAGCTCTAGTATCATTCTACAAAAGAGAGGTGACCCAACGAATCTACGCAACCACCACTTCATTTGCTTACTAGCTTAGTATTTGCGTTCTACATGGATTTCACTAGTGTTATTTCGTTGCGCATTTCATGAACTTTGGATGAAGTTTAATCAGTTGAACAACCACAATTACAGTAGGATTCCATTTTCTAGATCACATCCGAAGCATAGCTAGAGTTACAGATAACTGTCCGGAGCGCCATGTGTCCTTATTCCAACCTTTATCGACTACGACAAGGGATTCGTCGCATTCGAAATGAATGTCTATCTAGTTGAGAATTGTGGATCATAGAATACTAGATAGGAGCTCTATATTATCTATCGCAATCATAGCACGAAAGCACACTTCTTTTATAGCCCAGCAACCATACTCCAAACAAATGGGGTTTCAACACTATAGGGCTCAATGGGTGATGAAGTTACTCAAGTGGTATGAAGTTCCAGTAAGGCGGCGACGATGTTCAAGGGAATGAACGATAAGGAGAAAGGACGGAAAGCGTGTAAATCGAAACAGAATCTACGATTCATGAAGAGATATGGCGCAAAGAGGAGCAAATTGAAATGGATGGTTCACTGACGTTAGGGACTACCTTCTGCATGTACTTTTGGCGTTCAATGAACATGGAGAACAGCATTGAAGTGGAATTATACGGAAGAAGAATAGCAGTACAGACCGTATTTTTAACGAATTACTTTAAAAAAGCTCTGACTCACGTATGGATGGTGTTATTTTTAACGGTCCTGATAAGAATACCGTAGCTCACCGCACAAATAATGATCGATATCAACGGAATCAACGCCGCTTTGATATAATGCGCCTGAACATCGAATGTCGACTATAAAAAAGCTACTCAAAAATTGCTTAGCACTCCAAAAGACCATTTATTTAATTGAAACGATAAAGCCCTCGGCGTTAATCAATCCCTGAGCGATGCGCCATGCATTCGACTTCATTAAGCATCGCTTGGAGGTGATTGAATGCATATCTAGCCTTTACAATGATTAGTGGTGGCCTACCAATGTATCGAACCAGTGCTGCTATCCTCCCAGACAAGTCTGGCACCAATTTAAACGATCCCGGAGAAAAGGAAGGCTTGGTGGGCCAGGCACGCGGGGATCGATTCCACGTGTGTGTTGCAGGGTGCCTCCGACCATTGCGCCACACGCTACTACATCACTTGGTTAAATTACTAAAATCCTAGCGATTTTGTTCGTATTTTTTTTGAGCAAACGCGAGGTGTTATTGTTCTTTGTTCACGATTAAGCTGACGTTTCGACGAATTTCGCCTTCTTCAGAGCCTGGAAAGGTCAAGTTGATAGTAACTCACTCGGCCAGACGCCTCCATAACCAAACAAGGAAACCCCAAACCAAGATTTCAATCACTTTGAACACAGCTTTGCACACT